CAAAGGTAAGTGGACTGAACTTCAGTCAAGATGACAGTGGAAGCAGACATGATGTTACTCTTTGCACAACCACATCAAAATTACAACAAAATATAGAACATCCATCACTTAGAAACATCAGAAATTGAGCTGAATAGAAGTCTGACAAGTATGGAATTAGAGAAAATATATCCATCCAGACAACCTGATAGGAGGGGTTCAGATGCAGAATGGGCTGTTGCCTTATCCTCGTGTGGTATATTAAAAGTTGGGAGGGATATCTCAGGAGTGAGAAGTCCCAGGCCCACACACAGCCCCCCAGACATGGGTTCTAATGCCAGTAAATACATCCACACAACTTCTGGCTGCAAAGACCAGCTGGGATTGAATTGGTGAAAGAAACTTCTAGAGCCTCAAGCAGTTCCTCTTAAAGAACCCACACTCAGACTCACCTACTCAGATTCACTCCCTCTGATCTCCAGCACTAGGGTAGTAGCTTGAAAGGCACCAGTAGTATACAGGGAGAAACTGAAGTACCTGGCATCAAAGCAATCAGAGGCCATTGTCCCTTTTCTAAATCCTCCCCCTAAGAGAGTCCCCAAGGTGGTACCACATCTGAGACTCCATCAACCTGGCTAACACTGTTTTACCTGCCATAGACATCACCAGATACTCTGCCCCACCCAACTTACAGGCCCACCCATGCTGCTTTTCCACACGAATGGCTAGTCTTGGCTAATGTTTCACAACTTCCTAAACCCTATCAAAACAGGAAGAGTTGGCCTCAGTGAGCTTCAGGCACTGGCACTAGCATTAGCCAGCCTAGATTTACAGCTTGGTTTCACCTGGGAAACTCCAAGCCCAGCACAAGTAGCAGCCATCTCAGATGGCTTTATAGCTCAAGGAGGGTGGCTCCGGGCTAAACACAGGTGGGAGCTGGCCTTGGCCTATATCACCTGGGAACCCCAGAGTCAATGTACCCAGTGGACAGCTACAGATCATGTCGGAGCCCTGGCACCCTGCTCCTGCACAGTTGATCCTCTGCAGAGGGCAAAGGTTGGTGATAAGTATTCATAGTCAATCCTTGCAGCTGACTGGCCTGGTTAAATCCCTCCCGCTGATCTGCCAACAGCAACCAAGAGGAGGGTGTATATAGCCCACATGAAGGGCGCACCTCCAGAATGCAGCTTGGGTGATAGGGGAGGCTGTGCTACTAGACGCTACAGGACACCGACTAAATTAAACCACACTACCAAGACAGAGTCAAAGTAGCTTTACCTAATACATAGAAACGAACTCAGGGAGGCTGCCAAAATGAGGAGACAAAGAAACAGGGTCCAAATGAAATAACAGATCAAAACTCCAGAAAAAGAGCTAAATAAAATGGAGATAAGCAAGCTATTATATGCAGAGTTCAAAATATTGGCTATGCTCAAGGAACTGAATGAGGACCTCAACAGCATAAAAAAGAGCCAGTCAGAAATGAAGGATACACTAATTGAACTAAAAACAATTTACAGGGAAACAACAGTAGAGTGGATGAAGCCAGGAATCAAATCAATGATTTGGAATATAGGAAAGCAAAAAACAACCAATCAGAACCAGAAGAAGAAAAAACAATCCAAAAAATAAGAATAGTATAAGTAGTCTCTGGTACAACTCAAAGAGGTCCAACATTAGCATCACAGTGGTGCCAGACAAAAAGAAAGAAGAAATGGGTAGTCTGTTTGAAAAAATAATGAAAGAAAACTTCTCCAATTTAATGAATGAAATCACATGCAAGTCTAAGAAGCACAGAGTCCCAGACAAAGTGAATGCAAAGAGGCCCACTCCAAGGCATATCATAATTAAAATCCCAAAGCTTAAAGATAAAGAGAAAATCTTAAAAGCAGCAAGAGAAGTTACTTACCTACAGGAAAGTTCCCTTAATACTGTCAGCTGATTTTCTCAAAAGAAACTTTGCAGGTAGAAGGGACTGGCAGGAAATATTCAAAGTCATGAAAAGCAGGGACCTACAGCAAAGATTGCTTTACCCAGCAAAACTATAATTTACAATCAAAAGGCAGATAAAGGACTTCCCAGACAAGAAAAAACTAAAGGAGTTCATCATCATCAAACCATTATTATATGAAATGTTAAAGGGACTTTTTAAAGAAAAAGATCACAACTATGAACAATAAAATGGCAAAAATACAAATTTATCAACAATTAAATCTAAAAAACAAACAGTAAACAAGAACAGAGACAGAATCATGGATACAGACATCATTTTGATGGTGGTCAGATTAGAGGGGAGTGTGGAGGAATGGGTGGAGAGGTGAGGGGATTAACAAATACAAATAGGTAGTTACAGAATAGCCATGGGGATATAAAGTACAATACAGGAAATGTAGTAGTCAGAGAACTTACACATATGACCCATGGACATGAGGAATGGTGTTGGGATTTCCAGAAGGTATAGGGGGTGTTAGGTGGAGGGGGAGCAAAGAGGGAGAACCAGGACAATTGTAATAGAATAATCAATAAAATATAATTTTAAAAAGTAAATAGAATAAAAGATGAATGGATAAAGATCTCATACATATATACAATGAAACACTATTCAGTCATATAAAATAATGAAATCTTACTATTTACAAGGTGGATAGATCTTCTGGGCATTACACTAAATAAAATAAGTCAAACAGAAAGAAAAATATCATATGATTTCATTTAGATGTGTAATATGAAGAACAGACAAACAAACAACCAGAAACAGACTCATATATACAGAACTGATGCCACATGGAAGGAACTTATGGGACTGGGTAAAAAAGGTGAAATGATTAAGGACAAATTGACAGTTACAAAATAGACACAGGCATGTAAAGTACAGCATAAGGAATATAGTCAATAATATTGTAATAACTAAATATAGTGTCCTATGGGTTCTAAATTTATCAAGGGGATAACTTCCTAAATTACATAAATTGCTGTGTATCTAAAACTAATAGAACATTAAATGTCAATTGTAATTGAAAATGAAAAATTAAAAATAAAGGAAATAAATATCAAAAAATAAAACTATAAAAATCTTCTTCCAGTAAATTATTTGGGAGGGTAAGTAGTACCTCACTTAATGTTTCCCTAGGTACAACACTTTAAATATGTTTTTATCAATTTAGAGTTTAATGAGAAATTCTTGTGATACAAAATCAAAAGACCAGGAAAATTTGCTCTGATTCTAAATTGGGGGCACTGGTAACATGGTGTGTTCAATTTGTGAAAAATGCATTCAGCTATAATTTGTACTATGTACTTTTCAGCATATACATTGCACTTCAGTTAAAACCAAACTTAAAATCTGTGAAAGCTCAAATATATCTGTAGCATATCCCTTCCCTAAAATGTCAATTATTCTCACAGGAAATATTTACAGTATTCTATTTGTGTGTCATGACTTATCTTCATAGTTACTCACTACCACTCTGTTCTCTTTATGATTAAACAGGTAATATGTGTTGTTTTTAAATTCAAACATTAAAAATATAACAATAAAAAAGTGTCTATAATTTCATCCCCAAGAGATAAAACTTAGCCTTCAAATTCAGAGGTTTATGACTTCTACCTCATATTATTAATAAAGTGTACCTTTGCCAGACATTGAGCATGTCACTTTTTCTCCAAATAGACTCAGAAGTAAAGGAATATTGTTTAGAATCCCCAGAACACTGTAAAATGCACTAATTTAATAGGCTTGAGCACCAGCAATTTCTAAACAGTAAATATCTACTATTTCCTCCAAAACTTTCAAAGTCCATGTCTTTCCTGTATCCTCACAATGTCTACCTGAATAAAAGGCATATAGCAGAGAGGCCTACTGAGGAAAATAAAAGTAATTCTCTAAAAGAAATGAAAATAGTCATTTTCACATGATACAGTAAATGTCTTGATTTCAATTTCTACAAGGAGAGAGCACATTAGCCTCTGAAAAGTACTCTGTATTCTATTCTATTCTATTCTATTTATTTATTTATTTATTTTGCTACTTTAAATCTCTTTGAATTTTTTTCTAACTGCTCCTTTTCTTATAAAGTGAAAGTTGTATAAATGAGTTACTAAATTCAATGAATAGCAATAGAACATCTTTTTTTACAACTTGTCCTCTTTTTCTATCCACTGTCTATATGGCAATCAAGAAAACATTAAGAAATAAATTGTCTGTTAGCCATTACGTTTTTTAATCCAAAAATTAAAATTACAATTACATGTACAGATTAGGATTCTAATGTAACTAAAGTCTTAATTTTTTTCATTGCCATTTCCATATGAAAAGATACATACTAGCATGTAACAGATTTGAAAAGAAACCAATTCTACATTAATCTATAAATCTGATGATTCACAAAGCTTTACTCAACTATGCATATTTAAAGAGCATAATAGAGGAACTGCACACTTTTTACTATTACTATATAAACACTGTGCCCTTTATTAAAACAAAACCCTATCAATAGCTTATATGCTATAAATAGAATAACTAGAGAATATGATTTCTGCCTTATAAATTATCTACAAGCAATAAGTATAATTAAACAATAGTGTACATTTTTGGACTATTTTTAACAATGGGAAAATATCCAACAAAATTGAATTTAAAAAACTGTACTTTTAAATCATCTAAATAGGCAATTTAAATTTTTTTTATCATTTTGTTGGAATTTAAGAGCAGATGTTTAAATTTTCAAGCATGACACCTCTGTTTCAAATAAGTTACCTCCATACTAGTTCAACTTTGTTTTAAAATGCCATGCTTTAAGAAAAGCTTTTCCTAAATAAATCACTGTGTATCAGATGATCAAGGAAGCTCAAATAAAACTCCATTCTGCAATAATTTTACTTGATTCTTGAGCTACATACCAAAATCACATTATTCATTAAATTTTATGTTTGCTTTTGAGGTAAATTTTAACTAATATCTTTCACTAGGAGATATGCCAAATGCATATAAATATCTTTACTTATTTTAGCTAGTTACTTACTGAGAGCCATGCAAGGGATTCCATGATTCGATGTTCACATCGTTCTAAATGTTTTATCATTTCTCTGGTCAAGTTGGCTTCTGCTTTGATAAAACTTTCAATCACTTTGTAAAAATCGAAAGCTTTTAAATTAAGTACATTCAGAATCCATGGGAAGGACAAATCTGTTCCAGTATCAAGATTCTGAGATGTACTTCCTAAAAAATGAAAGGAAAAATGTAACTTAGGTATGAAATGTTAGGCCTTAACTATATAATTTTAGGGTGGAAGGTTTTATCAAACAAAAAATTAAAACAATAAAAAACTAAACACATGTTTTTATTCAGAAAAGATTTTTAAAAAATTTTTATTTTGGAGCCCAAGACTCCCAGAAAATAGTTTCAAAATTTCTAGTGTATGTGCTCATATGATTTTCCTAGATTAAGGGCTCATAGTTTGTATCAAAATTTCAAAGGTTTAAATTCCCCAAATTTATATCAGGGACAGGTTTAATATGTAACCCATCAATGTATTAATATATCCATTTTAATTGTCTCATTAATCCCTGGATAAGGGAGAAAAAGAGTCTTTAATATTTTGCTAATTTAATTACTTAGAAAATGTTACCCCTTTTAAATGAGCATTTCTTGATAACTAATGAAAATTCACAATTTTTCATGTTTGCCTTAAGTTTCTCTTTTATTGTGTATTTGTATCCTTTTATAAATCTTTTGTTTTTGCAAACAAAAGCTTTTTTTATATTTACAATGTTATTTGCAAAATAATACCTTTAAAATTATATTAAAAACAATACTATCAGTAGCCTCTTTCTGTTTATCTGGCAGGTTCTAGCTCCAAAATCTTTGATCACATAATCATAGATTCTATCTATAGCAGTGCTTCCTTATCAGTGGATGCTGCTTGTTAGTATTCATTCCTTTGGCATTTTACAATCTTATAAGTAATTGAAGGGATTTCAATAGGTACATTTCCTGGATTCAGTATAGCCCAGAACAGAAGCCTAGTGAAATACTATTCCCAAGATGACCTGAAATAATTCAGAATATAAGTCAGTTAATTATCAATATTTCATGGTGACCATTTAAATTCTTCAGAATATACTGACTTAAAATATACATTTACTCACCTTAATGACATCCCTCCCCCCAAAAAACTCAGCAAACCTTTCATGTCTTTTTAACTTTAAATTAAACTAAAATGTTTATTTACTAAACTTTAACTTACTGCTATATGTAGCCATTACAACTTCAAGAGCACATGCCAACAAAGACATATGAAAGATGTTGTCATTCAGGAGTTTGCTAAAGGAATAAAAAAAAAAGTGATTTTGAAACACTTTATTCTATAAAGAGAAAAAATTCTTTTACTAAAACTAAAAAGTTTACCTAAAATTTTGAATGGATAATCGCTCTTCTTCCTAAAACAAATAAAAAACATTTAATCGAAATCATTTTTATGTCAGCATTAACTTTTTTATTATTTTCCTTTTTACTTACTGATTTAAGCATGGATTCCATTACTCGATAATACAATCGAACTCCAAGTTTGTATCGCTATGAATAAAATAAATAATAATTAGATCCCACTATTTTAGAAAATCACAATTATTAATTTCTTTAAAGTGTCTCTTGAAACACATTTCTGAAGCTTCTTAGGAATATTAGCTACCAAGAAATCATGAAATCTAGCTTGTTTAAAACTCAAGACTTAAGTATAAAACAATAGCTAACATTCCCAATAAACTGTCAAGAGGGAAGTCTTTATTTTCATTCACTGCATTTTGGTCTAAATTTATTTATATATACAAATGTATTTGCATATATTTAAATAAATATATATAAAACTATGTGCTTTGGTACTATGTACTTGGTACTATTTTACATAGTGTAATACATTTTATAACCTAGAATATGTATTTTCAAGATAGCTGTCCAGGATTTACAGAACGGACACTGTCCATAAAATTGGCAAAGGCAAAAATCAGATTTCACTCTTAGCAGCAAAAATTTTAACCTAATAACTAGTTCCCACTAGTGCAAAAAATAACTGAATTTTAGAGATATGCACATGCAGAACACACATGCTCAAACTATAGTCCTTCATTTCAAATTATGAATATAACTTCATGTACAAACAAAAATAACTTTATAGGTAGGAAAGAGGGGATAATTGGTGATGGAAGTAGGCTTGCCTTGGGTGGTAAACACACAATACAATATATAGATGATGTATTATAAGATTGTACCGTGAAACCTATGACTTTATTAACCAATGTCACCCCAATAAATTCAATTAAAAATTAAATATAATTGCTTAAAATACTTATGGCATTGAAATGTAAACTCACTATACTGAAATAAACATATATAGGAGAATACAGTTTTCAAATATATCTTTGAATATATTTGGTATTACCTCATTAATGTCATACAACAGAGAACAACAAATATAAAAACCTGACTTTTGGAGAAGTTAAATGACTGATCAAAATGGTAAAACCAGATGTCTCTGATCCAGTGCTCATACTCTATTAGTTTTAAGTTTTATTAAATAATAATAATTTTAAATTTTCTTAAATAATAAATATTAAAATAACTGATAACTGGCATATATAATCCCATTCATACAAGTATATATGCATATACAAATATTCTTTTTTTTTAAAGATTTTATTTATTTATCTTTAGAGGGGAAGGGAAGGAGAGAGGGAAAGAAACATCAATGTATGGTTGCCTTTTGTGCATCCCCTGCTGGGAACTGGCCTGCAGGGAACTGGCCTGCAACCCGGTATGTGCCCTGACTGGGAATCAAACCTCGACTGTCTGGTTTGCAGGCCCGCGCTCAATCCACTGATCTACACCAGCCAGGGCTCATACACGAATATTCTTAAATGTAGACATCAAAGCACAGGCAAAAATATTTAATAGCATCAAAGATTCTAATTTTTTTCTTTTCCTTGATTTAAAAACATTTCTACTATTTCTCTAAGATTTTCTGCATGTTTACACTTGGATTTTATAGAACTGAGAATCATTTTCCCATAAAGTTTTTCATAAATAACAGCATACATGGCTAGCTAACATATAGTGTCTGCCAGTATTTTATATTATCAGACAAATATCATAATAGTGTCTATGCAGTTTGGACAGATTTTGCATCTGAAATATAACACCAGTAATCAAAATTAAAGTTACCTGTGACCCAATATCTATACATCCCCGGCCAACAGCTTTAGCAAATTTCTCTTTAAAGATGTATCCAATGTCCTTCACTCTTTTCAGGATACTTTCCATTGGATTCACTGTGCAGTTCTTTAAGAGGGAAAACAGAAATGTTGAGAAGGTTTTTAATTAAAATTAACGTATTGTCTATAGTGCAAAAACATTTCCGCAAGAACATTTCCACACTAACTAGATAAAAAACTACTCAAAAATGAACATAATGAATTTTATTTTTAAATGTTAGCAGAAAATACTAGAGTACAAATCAAAGCCTTAGTATATAAATTTTCTGCAGATAGGTTAGGGAAGAATAGATTTGTTAGCTCTTCTCTCCAGCAAAAAAAACCCCCAAAAACAACCCCCCCCAAAACCCCATCATGGACATTGTATTGATACCACAGAAAACCAAAGAGACTACTATAAGAGACTACTATAAGCCATGACATGCCAACAATCTAACAACCTAAAAGAAATGAATGCATAAAAACATACAACCTTCCAACATTGAATCACGAATAAAAAGCCTGAATAGAGATTCAGATCTATTACTAGTAAAGACATTAAATGAGTAATGGAAATGTTCCAATGAACAAAAGTTACGACCAGACAACTTCAATGGTAAATTCTATCAAACATTCAAAGAATTATCAGTTCTTGTTAAACTCTTCCAAAAAAGAGAAGAGTGAACTCTTCCCAATCCAATTTACGAGGTGAGCATTACCCTGATACCAAAACCAGACACAGATGCCCCCCCAAAATCAAAATATACAGGCCAATATTCCTGGTGAACACAAATGTAAAAATCCTTAACAAAATCTTATCAAACCAAATTCAACAACAATACATTAAAAGAATTATATATCATGATCAAATGGGATTTAGTCCATGTAGATGGCAGCGAGGTAGGTGGGACCACTTGCTCATGTATCCAAGTAGGACATAGCCAATCTTCTGAAGAACAGAGTGAACAAACAACAAAATTCCAGCTGATACAAACTTTGGAAGCCAGAAGTTGATGAGGACATTTAAAAATGGACCATAAGGAGATTGTGTGGGACAACAAAAGGGTCCCTGGGCCCTGCCCCAGAGGCCGAGGCTGCCACAGCAGCTTTGGAAGACAGCCAGGTCAGTGATTGTGACTTTGTAGCACCCTCCACACCCAAAGTGGTGAGTCGCAGATCTACACCAGGAGAGAATTGGACACTTAAAGAAGCTGGGGGAATAGAGGCAGTAAGTGAGACACAGTTGGTTTCATAATCCTGCTGGGACTATGGTCACTGGCTGGAACAGTTCCAGATAAACTGGGGAGCAGGGTGACACCTGGAAATGGGAGAAGAGATGGGCTGCGATTGGCCATGACCCAGACAGTGTCAAAGAGGCTGTCCAGAGAGTTGGTCTGTGTGGAAAGCCAGTTGCTAGATAGGATAGGAACAGCAGCCCACAAGCAAGGGAAATACACTAGAAAAAGGATCTCAGACATTGTGCAAAGACCTCTCGTGTGCAGTGGCCAGGCCAGATAAGGGGCTGGAGTTGCAATCTGCTCCGATGCAGTATACCTCATTGACTGATCAAAGTGGGGTACCTCAGAGAGGTAGCAGTGCCCAGCAGAGAGTGTCCAGGCAGAGACTTAATTCAATAGGGGAACTTAACTGCCTTGAAGGGACTTTTCATGGGCGCAGGCCCAGGCCAAAAAGCAGAGATGGGGGTGTGATTTGCTCCCACTCAATGCATGTCACAGAATAATCAAAGGGTTGCTCAAGGAGGTGGATTAGAGGTACCTGCCTGGTACACATACATAATAAACAGTATGAGATGCACAATGCTCTGAGGATATGGGTCTGAAACTGGACACTCCTGAATATTATATCCCAAAACACCCATCTTTGTGGAAACACAAGAAAGGGAAGGAAAAAAACAAAGGAGACCATCCACACCCCACCCCACCCCCACTGCCTGCAGCATCCACGAAAACAAAAAAAACCCCTCTTAGCAGCATTAAAGTCAGCAGGAGGCTCCCCCCGCGCCCCCCCCCAAGACAAAAAGACCTCAAGCTGTAAGAAGACCAAAGACAGATCCAGAAAAAAGTCAGAAGGCAAACACCAACAGCTGAGACAAAGTACACTCTGCTACCCTTCAGAACATCATTTTTTTTTTAAAGATTTTATTTATTTATCTTTAGAGGGGAAGGGAAGGAGAGAAGGAGAGAAATATCAATGTATGGTTGCCTCTTGTGTGCCCTGCTGGGAACTGGCCTGCAACCCAGGCATGTGCCCTGACTGGGAATCGAACCACAATCCTTTGGTTCACAGGCCTGCGCTCAATCCACTGAGCTACACCAGCCAGGGCAGAACATCATTTTATTTATTTTACCTTTGTTTTGCTTTTATTTTTTAAATTATTTTAATTTTTTTATTTCTCTTATTTACATTTACCTTTTTTGTTTGATTTCATTGTTTGATTGGTTTTCTTTAGTTTCCCTTTGATATAGCATTTTAATTTAACATCTTTCACTTCACTTGTATTCCAATGACACACTAATCTTTACTTTTTACTTTTTATTCTTTTTATTCAGATCATATATTTTTAATCATGTTATTGTTATTCCAAATCCCACACAGTAACCTACACTGATCTTAATCCATTTCACCATTCCTGAACTTTATTACTGCTCTGGTTAACTTTATTCTCTTATATACAATGCCAAGTTTCTATACCTTACTGTCACTATTGTTTACATCTAACCTCCCTAGCACTCTGCTTTCTAAAGTCAGCTCACATTCTTTTTCCCTTCTAATAAGAGTCTTATCTCTTTTTCACCTTTTATAAAAAGTGGCTACTTGGATGAAACATCACAGTTATTGCTGTACTTCTCCAGAGGAACTCTTATCTGTCCTCTAATTGTTAGTACTTTAAATCTCATAGAATCTTCTCCCACTATCTTACTCAATTTCACCTTTGCCCTGCCCCTGATATCATATAAGACAAGAGGAAAGTTGTGAGTACCAGTAAATCTGCTGGAGCGGAGACCCCACCAACAAAGGAGCCACCAATTGGTAAATACCAATTGAACATACACAAACGGAAGGAAGGGCAACCATAGTATGGAGAAACTTCACAAACCACTTTTGACATGTTTGATCAGTCACAGCACCTTCTCCATACACTGAACGAATGTTTTTTTGTTGTTGTTTCAGTTACGTATTTATCTTTCTTAAAATAATAAAACATAATATGCTGAAAATATTTCAGACTTTTTTCTATCATCAATATTAAAATGGCTGCACAAAAACTCACCAATTTCGATAAGTTTTTTTAAATGCACACTGATATGACAGCTACCACAATGCAGTTTAACAAAATTATTTACAATGTAGTTAAAGACAAGCACTCCTAGAGTCATCATATGGAAAAAACTAAAACTTTTTGGCCAACCCAATATTAATAATACTAAAAATAATGGAGGAAAGGTCAAAACTAGAAGTTTCAAAGAGTTGTTGAAGTAACTGAAAAACTTAAGTCTAATGAATCTTTGTGAACAAAAACTTCATGAAAAGACTTCTGCCAAGATGGAGGAATAGGTGAAGATGCCTTGCTTCCTCACACAACCAAGTTTAGAGACAACAAAATATTAGCAAAGAAAATACAGCCAGAACACAGAAAATTGAACTTTTCAGAAGTCTGATAACAACGAATTCTTCAGCCTAACCTGTAAGAGGGGTGAAGCCAGCAGCTGATGGAGCGGGGTTGCACAGGAAGACTGGGTCAGACTGACTCAGGCACGCAGATCCCAGGCATGGGGTTGCAACGGGCGGACCCAGTGAGCGACCCAGTGAGCGACCTAGTGAGTGACCGGGGGGACCCAGCGAGGGCGCAGGGTGGCGGGTTGACTGTGGTTGCGCATTCCTGCGCAGATAGATCGGAGAGGGACCAAGCAGGCCCCAGTGGCAGGAGGCAGCAGAGGGAGCCGCCATTTCCCCTCTCTGACCCCGCCCCCCACATACAGCATCACAACCCAGCAACCTGGGCGGCCCCGCCCTGGTGAACACCTAAGGCTCCGCTCCTCATACTTAACGGGTGTGAACAGACCAAAAATGGCTCAAGAACATCTCAAAGCCCAGGGCCCATAACTCTAAGTGACAAAGAAATAGCAAAACTTGCAGATGCACAGTTCAAAACACTGGTGATCAGGATGCTCACAGAACTAGTTGATTTTAGTCACAAATTAGAGGAACATATGAAGGCTAAACTAACTGAAATGAAGGGAATTGCACAGGAAACCAATAGTGATGGAAAGGAAACTGGGACTCAAATCAAGGGAGTGGACCAGAAGGAAGGAAAAAATGACCAAACAGGAAAATATGAAGAAATAAGAATTCCAAAAAATGAGGAGAGGCTTAGGAACCTCCAGGACATCTTTAAACGCTCCAACATCCGAATTATAGGAGTACCAGAAGGGGGAAAGGAACAGCCACCAGTGGAACACTTATTTGAACAAATAATAAAGGAGAATTTCCCCAATCTGGCAAAGGAAATAGACTTCCAGGAAATTTAGGAAGCTCAGAGAGTCCCAAAGAACTTGGACCCAAGAAGAAACACACCAAGGCACATCATAATTACATTAGCCAAGATTAACATGAAGGAGAGAATCCTAGAAGCAGCAAGAGATAAGGGGACAGTCACCTACAAAGGAGTTCCCATCAGACTGTCAGCTGATTTCTCAAAAGAGACCTTACAGGCAAGAAGGGGCTGGAAAGAGGTATTCCAAGTCATGAAATCCAAAGACCTACAACCAAGATTGCTCTATACAGCAAAGCTTTCATTTAGAATGGAAGGACAGATAAAGCGCTTCTCAGATAAGATCAAGTTCAAGGAGTTCATCATCACCAAGCCCTTATTATATGAAATGTTAAAGGGACTTATCTAACAAAAAGAAGATAAAAAAGATGAACAGTGAAAGGACAGCAAACTCACAATTATTAACAACCACACCTAAAACAAAAGCAAACTAAAAGGACAGCTAGATCAGGAGCAGAAACATAGAAATGAAGATCTCATGGAGGGTTAGCAACAGGGGAGTGGGAGGAGGAGCAGGGAGGAGAAGGTACAGAAAATAAGTAGCATAGATGGTAGGTAGAAAATAGATGGGGGGAGGGCAAGAATAGTATGGGAAATATAGAATTTAAAGAACTTGAGACACATGGTCATAAACTAAAGGGGGGAATGGTGGGGAGGGGGTGTGCAGGGTGGAGGGGAATGAAGGGGGGAATAGAACAACTGTAATGGCATAATCAATAAAATCAAATAAAATTTTAAAAATACACACAAAAAAAACCTGTGCTACATTTAGACAATGTAATACTATGCAGCTTTCTACCCTTTGTGATAGCATGGATGGATCTGGAGATCACTGTGCTAAGTGAAGGAAGCCAGGGGGTGAAAGACAAATACCATATGATCTCAAGTATAATTGGAACCTAACCAATAAAACACACAAGCAAGAAAAATATAACCAGAGACATTGAAATAAAGAACAAACTGCCAATAACCAGAAGGGATTGGAGAAGGGAATAAAGGGGGTTAAAAGGGGAAGTGTTGTCAAGGAACATATATAAAGGACACATGGACAAAGCCAGGGGTAGGGGGTAAGATCAAGGGTGGGGCAGGGGGAAGTGGTGAAGGGAAAATGAAGACAATTGTATTTGAATAACAATAAAGAAAATGAAAATAAAATATACCACAAGATAATTATTAAAATGCAAATTAAGATGCATTAAAATAATTTATTTCATATTATAATCTATTATAATCTAATCATAAATTTGATTTTTTTCAACCATAACCAAAGATGAACTTAATTTTATAATCTTTATCAATCAAATACATTCAAAATATATGTCAGAAAATAAACTTTCCAAAATTAAGATTAACTGTAATTTTATTTCTAATGTAGTGTCATTCAAAAATTTATTCTATAAAATCAGTAATTTTATCTCTCTGAAAAAAGAAATAGCACACAAGTCTTAGAAACATGGCAACAAAGAAACATTTCCTATTATAAAAATCATTGTTACCAAAACATACATTAAAAGTCTGTAAGCTTCTAAGATTTTACTCATGCACAAAAAATATGGCATTAATTTAAAAAATTAAGAAACCTGATCTAATAAAGGAGCACAATTTTTTTAAAAAACCTTAACTGATCTTTAAGATATGCCCACTCAGAGACAGGCAATTTGTAATCTATATAAAACTAAAAAAACACATTATAAACTCATCTTAAATGGACTGTCACTAAAGGAGGTAAATAAAAGATATGTCTGAAGAAGAAAGAAAATCATCTCAGAAGTGAGATCTAAAGTGCAAGAAAGAATGTTGAGCGAGGTAAATAGTAAACATGAGGAAATCTAAGAAAAATGCTGTCTACTGGTAATATCTACTAAAAGCATGCAATATGGATGGTTTTAAAAAAGCAAGAAATAAGGTAACAGACAACTACACGTTGGTTGGGAGATAGGTATTTTAAAAATACTCAAAATTTTAACTGCTAATTTCAAATTTCTTTGCCAAGATATTACAACAAATAATGTTTCATATATGGCTTACATTAAAATAGGCAATCAGATTTTCTGATGGTTGATCACTTGCTGAATTTAAGATCATCATTAATTGTTGAATTGTATTCATAACAGTCCTAGAGAAAAAAATAGAAGTGTTAAGTAGTGAAGGAAAAAAATATATATATCTATCGCACAAGTTAAACATATCTTTAAACTCATTGTCTCCCATTTATCTTTAAAAAGTTATCTGCAATAAAACTTTATAAAATCCTTAGTGTATTATTGTTTGCAAGGAATTATATTTTACTTAAATCTTTAAGGAAGAATGTGTTCATAATCAGCACATTTACATTAAAGAACAGATATGCTTATTTATTGATAAAACTATAAATCAATCAAACACTAAGTGATCAAACAAATGATTTATTTTATGGTGAGAAAATATAAACTGGCATCAAAATGTAATCTAATAAACATTACTATAATTAAATACTAAAATTTTTCAAACACAGTGAGCAAGTTATTTAGCAACTCGAGGAAAGAACCAAGAGACTCTCCAGAGATCTTCAAAAAGAAAGCATAGGATGGGAGGCAGGGATAGGTGGGAGGCGGGGGGGGGGAGGGGTGGAGTGAAAATGGAGATAATTATACTGGAATAACAATTAAATGAATGAATGAATGAATGAATGAAGAAAGAAAGCATAAATAAGTTCAGAAGTCACCACTGTTAAAGCAAAAAATTATGTCAATATCTTAAGCTCTCTTTAATACTATAATTTTATGTATGGGGTATATAGTAAATAATTATGTTCCAATTTTAGAGTAGCAGTACATTACTGCTGTAGGCACTACTTGATGATGCAAAGAACTATAGAATATTTATGGATAAAAGGGTCTTTAATATTATTTAGTAAAATGCATTCAGTGTTCTAAGTCAAGCATCTCTAAACTGAAATCTACACTTCCTCACCTTTCAAATACTTTGCTTTTATGATTTATATATCCAGTAATCTACTTAAACTCCAATGACTAAAGCCACAAATTGCTAAATCAAATATCTTTCTCATTTGTTCTTATACTTGACTTTGGTGGAGTACATACTTGGCCTTCTTCAACACCTGCTCCTTCCTGAAACTCCTTCCCCACCTTGGCTTTTTTGCCTTCACTCTATGAGCTCCCAATCATACCCGTCATTCTATTTAATCTAACTTCTATCTAGTCTTCAAATAAAGCATTCTTTCTGGTTCATCCCTTAGTCATGTGTTCTTGCCATTATACACCCTAACTCAGGCAACCTCAACTATTTTTTGGGTTTTAACTCTCCCTGATTATTCCCAAATCTGTAACATTCTACTATTTACTATACATCTTCTTCATTTCCCACAAAGGCCTCAAGAATCATATTCTAAATATGAATTCATCAAATATTTGTCAAACCGGTTCTTGCTCCTTCATTCCCACTGTTTATCTCTTGGTTCAGATCTTCACCATCTCTCAAATGAATTACTGTAATACAGCAGTCCAGAGATTTGACTCACTGTGTTTATGGTAGAAGGATCTAAGAATATGTAATTTGAAAAAAGTCCTCAGGTTATTCTAATTTGTACCCCTGGTTAAGAGCCATTGTGACAGATTGACAGAACTCCGTACTTCTCATCATGTTCACTTCACCATCCACCCCATCACAAACTAATACCACGTAAAGCTTCAAACACCAAGTCAGATTTTATCTTTACCCCCATTTAACACCCATTTATAGGAACAAACTATATTGTGCACAAGCTGAAGTCAAAACTTTTAAGTATGGTATATAAGGAAGGCCCTTCATAATCTAGTTCCCACCCTCCTCTCCTGCCATGTCATTTTCCCATTCAGTATGGAGCTGCTGATAGTTCCTCAGACACATTTTATTGTTTCCTCTTTTTATCCCTTTGAATATGTTGTTCCCACCCACTAAAATGACAATGTCCTATGATACAGACTCCTACGTATTCAAAATTCAGTTCAAACATCACTTCGAAAAGTCCTTTCTGTGCCATCTTATTAACTTGGTTTGTTTTTTTTTTTTTTTGATATTTTAGAAAGAAGGGGAAAGTGAAAGAGAGAGATAGGGAAAGAAACATCAATTTGTTGTTCCACTTATTTATTCACTCATTGGTTGATTCTTGTATATGTCCTGACTGGGGATTAAACATGTAGCCTTGGGGTATCGAGACAATCATTAACTTGTTTTAAGTCTATTACTATACTTATACAAAAATCTATTTTTATATGTCTATACAGTCATTTAATTGCCTACTATATACCAAGTATTATTCTTGGTCCTAATTATTGCATGCTGACCATAAAAGCCATAACCCATGTGGTATGCAACCTAAAGACTATTATCGTTATTAGCAAAACAAGAAAACACACAAATGGTTTTACAACTATAAATTATGATACACACTGTGAAGGAATTAAAAAAGATGCTATGAGAAGGAATAAAAGATAAAATACTTCAGAGAAACAAATCTTTTAAAAAGTACTATTTGTGCTGAACCTAAGGGAAGAGTAGCAGTTGTTAATTCATAGAAAGAAAAGTTTCAAGAAAAGGGAATAGTAAGTGCAAAGGTCCCCAGGCACAAAAGAAGAGGTTGAGAGTTCGGAAAACTGGCTAATTACATAAAGAAGAGGAAAACAAAATGAGCTGGAGAGGCAACAGAAGCTAGATCATATAAGGTCTTACAGGCATTGTTAAGAAATTTGCACTGTATTTTAATTGCAATAGGAGACAATCAGAAGATTTAATGGCAGGGGGAGCAGGATATGAATTACATTTCTATAATATTATCCTGTGTGCTCTCTGAAAAACAGATTTGGTAGTGGAGAGAAAGGAACTATGATGAGAGTAGCAGCAGTGAGCACAGATAGTAAGTCTACAGGAAAAAAAAAAAAGCAAAAGCCAAGTTGGATAAGGGTGGGAAGGGTAGGAATTGAGAAAAGAAGATGGACTCAAGAAATAGGTTAGGGGTAAATTCAACAAGACTTGATAACAGATTAGATGTAGGAAGTAAGTGAGGATAACAATATTAAAAATAGTTCTAATCCTTCTAGGTTGTATACAAACCAAATGGGGATGCATTTTTTACTTTTTTATTTACTAAGATGGAACACATTCCCATTCTAGGTTATATTCCTTAATGACACACAGAACTAAATGCCTGCAACATAAAGAGCACTTGATATACTCAATTTATGACACATACATACAGACATACAATGAAATAAATAAACAAATCCAAAGCCCTATAAAGTACTGAATAAACAATTATAATAAAAATGAAAAGTAAGAAAAATCATACCTTACTGGAGTCTGGGGAAGAATCACATTTAACTCTTCATCAGGGTTACATCTTCGTGGTGTTCTCTGCATTTCAAAACTAGATAATGAAAGGCAAAGTCATTTAGACTAAAATTTACACTTTGTACTTTATGAGTCAAAAAAAGAAGTATAAATCATTCTGTTGCCTCATAACATCACACAAAATAAACCTATAATAGAAGTGATCAGAAAGATAACCCAAAAGCTACAAAAATAAAATTATGTGTTTTCACTATTATTTTTAAGTTGGTTTTCTTTCCACTAGGTTTATGACAAACAGGTACACCAATCATTAAGAATTTTTTGAAAGTGAAAGTTAGATGTTTTCTCAACAAAGTTAGATGTTCAATGGCATTATTGATCAAGTTATGCAATATCAAAAAATATCAAAGCTCAAGTTTTCTAATCATTTGTCTTCCAAAATCTTTATCTTCACTTAACTAAAAAATTAGAAGTATTTTACTTGTGTTTAACTTCCAAATTGAAAGTTTTTTCAGTTACTTATACAAATATTTCATGTTAAAGACATAATATTAACCATACTTATGGTGATTCAACATTTTTTTGTAATTACTCTCAATCGTTCTTACTTGAAGACTCTACATGACAGTTCAAGAGAATACACTTTTGTATTAACTTAAAAAAAAAAAAACAAGCCTGGCTGTCATGGCTCAGTGGGCTGAGCATCGTCCAGCAAACTGAAAGCTTGCCAGTTTGCACATGATCAGGGCACATGCCCAGGTTTCGGGCCAGGTCCCTGGTTGGGGGTGTGAGAGAGGTAACTGATCAAGATGTTCCTCTAGCACATCAATGTTTCTCTCCCTCTCTATCTCCTTCCCTTCCCTTCTCTCTAAAATAAATAAATAAAATCTTTAAAAAAATAAACCAATAAAGTAAAGCAGGTGAAAAGCTAAAAAAAAAGACAGTGAATCACTATTGAGTAAACCAATTACAATTAACTTGAACTTGGATTATTCTCTTATACCATGGACCCAGGCAGTTCAAACCTGTCTTGTTTAACAATCAACAGTATTTTCAATACACAGTCTGGAATCTACATATGCACTGGGACAACTTAAAGATATACAAGGATTTTGCATAGGCAATTGGCACTTCTAACCCTGAATTGTTCAAGGGACTAATTGTATGTCAACAATTCTCTTTGGGTGTTCATTTTAAAAATTACATTCATCTAAAAGAAAAATAATTGGTATACAGGATGATTCACATTAAGTTTCTATCTCAGAAACATAAAAAAAGGTGCAACATATAATGATAAGGGGGTTATTCCGATTAGAAGATAAAACATTTATAATATTTTAAAATATTTTTTAAAGATCTTATGTATTTATTTTTAGAGAGACAGTAAGGGGGAGAGAAACATCAATGTGCAGTTGACTCTCGAGTGCCCCACTGGGGACTTGGTTTGCAACCCAGGCATGTGCCGTGACTGGGAATCAAACTGGCAACACTTTGGTTTCCAGGCCCATGCTTAATCCACTGAGCCACACCAGCCAGGGCATAGTTTTAAATATTTACACCCAAAATAAAAACACCTAAATATATAAAGTAAATATTAAAAGACCTGAAAGGAGAAATAGACAACAATACAATAGGAGTAGAAAAGTTTCTTACAATTACCCCACTAATACCTCATTGACATGACTAGATAAACTCATTCAGACCAAAACTCAGCAAGAAAACATGGCCCTTAATTGACATATTTGACTAGATGGAGTTAACAGATATTTGAATAACATTCCATCCAAAGCAACAGCACACATTCTTCTCAAGTGCACACTGAACATTTTTCTACCAATCTTCTTTTCTGACCACATTAGTATAAAACTACATGATATTAATAGATAACATATAAAATGTATTAATTACATGAAGAAAACTGAAGAACTCACAAATATGTGGAGATTAAACACCATGTTAGTGAACAACCAATGAATCAAAGAAAAATCAAAAGCTATAAATACCTTGAGAAAAACAAAAATCAAAATGTAAAATACCAAAGCCTATGGAATGCAAGAACCAGCAAAGAAAACAATTTAAAATAAATAGAAATAAGCAATTAAGAAAATAAAAATAAAAATTTCTTTGGAACCAGAAAAGAACCCAAATTGCCAAAGCAAGCTTAAAAAAAAGAACAAAGCTGGAGTCATCACACTTCCTGACTACAAACTACATCAAAAAGCTAAAAAAGAAAAAAAAAACACCTATAGAAAGCAGTATGGTGATAGCCAGAGGGAAGGAGGAAGGGGGCTAGGTGGTGGCAGGCAAATGGGAGTAGACACGGGGACACATCAATAATAGTGTCAAAAGTAAAAATAAAGGAAAAAATAAAGCTATAGTAATTAAAATAGTATGGAATTAGAAAAAAACAGACACATATATCAATGAAACAGAACAGAGACCCAAAAATAAACTCACACATATATCGTCAATTAATTTATGACAGGAACACAAGAATTCAGAATAGGGAAAGGACAGTCTCTTTAACAGATGATGCTGACAAAACTGAATAGTAACATACAAACAAATAAAACTTGACCACTATCATATATTATATATAAAAAGTAACTCAAAATGGACAAAAGACTTGAATGTAAGACCTGAAACCATAAAACTCCTTGAAGTGGCAATAAGTTCTTTGATATCAATGTTGGAAATATTTTTAATCTAACAGCAAAAGCAAAGGCAATAAAACAAAACAAAAAAAACGAGTAGTATATTGAACTGAAAAGCTTCTGCACAGCAAAGGAAGCCATCAACAAAATGAAAAAAGGCAACCAACTAAATAAGAGAAATACTTGCAAATAATATCTCAAAGGGTTAATATTCACAATATAAAAAGAAATCAATTGCAAAAAACATGATCAAATTGAAAAAAAGAGCAAATATGAATACATATTTTTCCAAAGAAGACATATAGATAGCCAACAGGTACATGAAATGATGCTTAATATCATTAGTCTTTAGGGAAATGCAAATCAAAACCACACTGAGTTATCACCTTAGACCAGTTAGAATGACTATTATCAAAAAGATAAGAAATAACAAGTGTTGATAAGGATGTGGAGAAAAGCGAACCCTTGTACACTATTGGTGGAAATGTAAACTGGTGCAAGCATTATGGAAAACAGTATGGAAGTTCCTCAAAAAATTTAAAATTGAGCTACCATAAGATACAACAATTCCACTACAGGGTATTTACTGAAAAGATACCTGAACCATCATGTTCACTGCAGTATTTACAACAGCTAAGATATGGAAACATGAATTTTCCATTAGTGGATGAATGACAAAGAAACTGTTTTATACAGACACACAAAAAATATATACATATACACAGGATGGGGCAAAAGTATGTTAACTGGTATTCATGTGGAAAATGACACATTAATTAATAAATAAGAATATAAGAATAAACTCTGGCCCTGGCTGGTGTAGCTCAGTGGATTGAGTGCGGGCCTGTGAAGCAAAGGATCAAGGTTCGATTCCCAGTCAGGGCACATGCCTAGGTTGCGGGCCAGTTTCCAGTGGGGGACACATGAGAGGCAACCACACATTGATATTTCTCTCCCTCTCTCCTTTCCTTCCCCTCTCTCTGAAAATAAATAAATATTTAAAAAAATAAACTCTGCCTTTCACATACAACTGTAAACCTACTTTTGTCTCACCCTGTAATATATATGTTATTGCATAATGGAGTATTATTCAACCATAGAAAGAATAAAATCTTGCCAATGTAACCTCAGAAGCATTATACTAAATGAAATAAGTCAGAAAGAAAAAGGCAAATGAGGTATGACCTCTCTTACATGTAGTATCTAAAAAAATCCAGCTCTGGCTGGTGTGGCTCAGTGGATTGAGTGCTGGCCTGCGAACCAAAAGGTCACTGGTTTAATTCTCAGTCAGGGCACATGCCTGGGTTGCCTGCCAGGCCCTCAACTGGGGGTGTGCAAAAGGCAACCAATCAATGTATCTCTCACACATTGATGTTTCTCTCCCTCTCTTTCTCCCTTCCTTCCCCTGTCTCTAAAAAGAAATAAGTAAAATCTTATTAAAAACTAAAAAAAATTTTAAATAAAAAAAAAATCCAAACTCTTAGGTACAAAGAATAGATTGGTACTCACCAGAGAAAATGGAAGGGAGTGGACGAAATTTTTTTTTAGTTTCAAAAAATAAAAAGAATGACATATTCAGTTGGCTGTTGAACATCTTCATTTTCCACTTTTCTAACTTAGGTTTGACTGCTTTCTTATATATACAAATTTATCCTTTCCTAGCTCTATGAAAAAATATCCAACCCCATAAACTGAACTGGGAGTCAAGTACCTAGCATTATTCTATCACTTCACAGTGTACAAAGTACTCTCATCGATATGCATGTATGTACATAGTACAAAGTATAGAAAGTATACATGTGACTCTGGAGTAAATGGTTATATTTTACAGATGAGAGAACTAAGACTTAGTGAGATAAAGTGAAAATTAAACTACATTCCAAAGGCATGAAGGAAATAAAAGTTATTATCTGCTTTGACTTGGCTAGAGAAAAATTACTTTAAAAAAATATTAATAATCAACACAAGCTTGTGCATACCAGGAGGCAAACTAATGTTCACACAGATAATACAAAGAATATTTTTTCACTTGTTTTAATAGAAAAAATTGATTTACAATCTGTGTAAAGGCACTGTATCATAAAAATTTCTATTTGTTAATAAATTACATACTTAGAATGGTTTATCTTATTAATAGCTTTATATAAAGGTACCTGAAATAATTATTATAAATGATATTTAAAGGTCACTAAGTTAAATAAAAACCTATTTAACCAATCTATATCACAACTGACCTATAGAAACATATTAAACAAAAATATACCACATATGATACCTGTCTGTAGGATCAGCCTGAAGAGTTTTATCATGATCTAGAAATAATCTTGCATCTAGATCTTTGTTTTTAAGGTAAATTTCTTCATATTGTTTAGAGAGACTTTCCACCTCAAAAGAAGAAAATACTGATGATTATCCTTTCATGTCATTACATCTCTCAGGAAACAGAAGTTCGATTTAATTAAAAAATTTTTTGTACAATACACTTAATTTTATAACACACTGAGAAGACATGCAATATAAATAAGGCATATGTATAAGTAAAGAAAATTACAAATTTTCAACTCTAATTTTAATCCTATTTTATGCACCCCATTAGAATTTTATGTAGACAAGATTCACAAAGCCACAAATTAGTATTGAGATGGAACTGTAAGATAAAAATAGGTATTATACCCACTTAAGTGCCAAGATCCTCCAAACATCCCATACATTTTTCACTTTTAATTTTCTATGCTTATAAATATAAAATAAATATTTTTCAAATATTGTAACAAATCCTCTTGATATATTCTGCCTATCTTTTCTAAATATTTTAGTTCACTCCAGCTTCCTTCAATTAAGTATCTTAGGAAAGAGCATTAGCTCAATTAATTAGCCCAATTAACACACTTGTATGATTTATTCCCAATCTTAGACACTTTTTCAATTGCTAGAATCTGCATTCTTTTATCAGTTCTGCTTCATAATTTTGAATCATAATTTGAAAACCAATGCATAATAGACAACTATTTGGCATGCCTTCTGCTGTGACTTTTAAAGCAAAAGTGTATCCAAACTGAAGGTACTAAAATGGCATTCTAAAAGGAATGGGAGAAGAAACTGAGTTAAATGTAACTTTTTGTTTGTCTCCATAAATTTTTTAGGTAGAACAGTCATTCATGTTTAAGTTTAATAATTGTTACTGCCCTAGCTTAGTGAGGCACTAATTATCAATCATTTATTGACTGGCAGGTATTAGTACTATATGCAATATACTGGGGAAAATGTTAAGTTTATCCTAAGATTTCTATTAAAACTGTAATCCTTGCTAGGTGAAGAAAAATTACTACAAGCGTCCAACATTCTTTAGAATTGGGAACAGCATATTTTTTGATAACAAGACTCAGTAATACAACATTTGGCCCCTGTTTGCCTCTCTAGTACCCCATCTTACCACTTTTTTGCTCTGTAACTCAATCTTAGCTAGTTGGAGTTCACTGAACAGACCAAACTATTTCATATCACCATATGTCTGAATCTTTAATTTCCAACCCTTGAGAATGCTATTTTCCAGAAAGCTTACTCAGCACAGAAATCATCACCTCCAAACAATTTTCCACAAAACCTATCTGCCCTCCTTGGAGATATCACAACACCCTGTGTATACTTCTGCCAGACTCTTGTAGACTCCTATAATGTTCTCTTGGTCTGTGTCTCCTTCTAGAATCTTAGTAAAGTAATTATGAGTTCAATCTCTGTAATGATATCTAGCACAATGCCTGGCACATATTAAGCGCTCAATATAATAGTTGTTGAATGAACCGATTAATTTATTCAAGGACTAGCTACAAATTCAGGTCACAGAATCAGCAGTTCAGCTATCTGAATTCACATCTTTTGGTCTTAGTGACTAAATACCAGATGCTTCTAAAACAGATGCTTTATCACTGAGTACTCGTTCATTATTTATCTAAAGCATCCTTTTCTCCACATATTTTACCTTATCACATAAGTTTTCAGTTCTACTTCCCTTGAAGAGTAAAATATTTAAAGCAAAATGTGAAAAGAAATGGATGGATGGCATACCACTGAGATAAAACATTTTTGCAATATAATCATAGTCCTTTCAACTGTATTTATTTTCAATTAAGTAGTTTTTAAAAATACTCAAAAGAGATGCTCTGCAATATAGTAATGTCAATAAAGCTGATGGCCTTAGTTGGCAATACTATGTACAAGGATGTGCAGCAAAGCAAATTAAGAGTCAAATGTGATTGGACATATTTAGTTTAAATATTTAGTATATGTGCTGCCCAAGTTCTTAGTAGTTATATTTAAATATTTAATGTAATTTAGAAATCCAAAAGTCTACACATAAATTTTTGAAAAATTTCAGCACAATACAATTTCTAGTGTAAGTTACAAAAGTACTGCTTATTTTTATACATTTGAGTACATATTCAAAAGGTTTTCTTGTTACTGTATAAAGCTGGTTCACCACAATTCTACTTAGATTCCTTTTCCTGGGCAAACAATATTTAATACATAGTAAAATTATCTCAACAAATTTAGATAATTATTCCACCCTATCAAAAGTCCCAAAACACATTAATATTTTATTAAGTTCTCTTTCAGATACCTCAGGAAGTCCATTAGAAGATACAATTCCAAGAGAATTCATAAAAGGTATAAAATTTTTGAAATAAACATTTTTCACCTGAAAAAGATAAAAGTTACATGACAATTAAAATTTAAAAAATCAATCTCCATCACTATTAACACTAGAATAAAAGCATTACCTGACAATTTGATCAATGACTTACATTCAACCTCATTCAATTACATATTTACTTTTAAAATTGTGTGAGGCAGATTTCAAGTCTTAAAATGGAGATATAGTTGGGAATTTTTAAAGAAATGGGATTTATAAGAAGAAAATCCATTGAAACCAACTTCAACATTCCACATTTCACAAATAATGAAAAGATGGGAGGCTCAAAAAAATTAAGCAATTTGACCAAAGTTATGCAGTTAAGAAGTAGCAAGCTAGAATTTAAACCCAATCTGCCTAACATAAAAGCCAAAATTCTTTTCACTTTTCTGCACTGCCTTTAATTTCTCACCAAAGCATATGTTAGATTTTTCATACGTCATCTAGTATTTAGCTTAGGGAATATCACATCAATTATTTTAGCATAAATTTAGAATAATGACCTGCTTTTGTAAGAAAATAATTTCACACACAAAAATAGTACCCAATAATTGAATTCAAAACTAAAAATGTTTTCTGGAATTATGCCATTTGATGCAAAAGCATCCTACATTTAACATGGAAAATGAATATTGTACTCAGAAAACCTGGAGTTATATTCCTGGCTATGCTACACTTGCAAAGTGTTATGGAATTTTAAACAACTTACTTTGTTTCATTTAACTTTATTTTACAATTTTAGAATCTACATTTACTAAAGTGGAAATAATTTAATATCAGTTTCTATCTTTTACCTCCTAAGTAAGTTATAAGAATTAAGCTTCTATTACACTTGCTAGTTTTGTTTTCTAATTAATTCCCAGTTAACTAGATTATTTACAATGTGGCTAGTTCTACTTAATCAGTTAGTATGACTAACCAATAATTATATAACTATAAATATAACTAACCAATAAATTCTGTATAAATAATCAAGTATCAATTAATGTCAATTACCAACAAAGCTTTTAATCACCTATACTTTTTTAATTTTTAATCATTTTATTATTGTTCAATCACAGTTGTCTGCTTAATCACCTATACTTTAAAAACATTAATGATTATAAATTATATCAAAGAGTAAAAATTAAAAGTAAAAAAATTTTATTCCTGAGTTTTGAAATAACATTTTACAAGTAGTTCAGAAATTCGGAGAATTAACAACCAGGAATTAGAAAACTGACTAAGCGAAAGACTGGAGAAAAAAATTTTTTTCAACTGCATCTGTCAGCTATTAGCAAAGATAAATTGTGATTCTAAAAAACTAAGTGTGCATATGTATGCATGTGTATATGTGTGTATGTATATAGTTGATACATCTATAGCTATGTTTATATCTATGTATTTGTTCAAATTAACAAAAGCCACTATGCTAAAACCCTGACAGCTTGATAAGTCATTCTAATACTTTTTAAACTAGATTTTTGATATAATACCCCCATTTTTTCCCAGAGTTCACAGAGAAATTTCAAAGATGCAGCTTTTCATACAGCTATCTGTTGGTAGTGAATTGTGGACAACATAATAATCTATTAGTGAAAGGAGCATGATATAGTGAAAGTAGCACTGGTAACAGATGTCCCAAAGTTTAAACTGTTAAAAACTAGCTATCAGGCTCTAGAAGCCTGTTCACTCATTACTAAAAGGAGGAAGAATCTATTCTTTTCAGAATCCTTCCAACAGTCCAGATTCTATTAACTAGATAAGCAACTCCTGGATTATTATGTGTATTCTCTGCCAGTCATTAATATCTGAGGTAATATCTAGAAAGATAGTAATTATAGAAGACTGAACAGAAATTTAATGCTGGTATCACTTATCACTAAACCCAAAACACTAGGACTTTTTTTATCAGGGTATATTAAACATTAGGGGTATCAGTAATCACAGAGGAATCAAAAAACAAATACATTTGAAAACTACTGCCTTAATGATTTATGTTTCGATGATTCCAGAGTGAGGGAGATACTCTCTTTATTTTTTCAGTATATTTTATTGCTGTGTTATTACAGTTGTCCCAATTTTTTCCCCTTTGTCCCCTTCTGCCTGTTACCTGCTGTCCCTCCAGCAATCCCCCCTTTAGTTCACGTCCATGGATCGTGCATGTAAATTCTTCAGCTTCTCCATTTCCTATATTATTCTTAACGTCCCCACCTATTTTGTAACTACCAACTGTGTTTCTTAATCCCTGTAACTTTTCCTCCCTTTCTTGCCCTACCCCCTCCCAGCTAATCTCTTTAAAATCAAAATAACTGAGAATGAAAATTAAAATTTTTCTAAACATTTTGCTATTGAAAAAGGGTTGGCGCCAATTACAAAAAGCAAGCTCATTACCAAAAAATGTATATATTGTTAGAAAGAACTTATATCTAAATTTACTTTAACTATTTTAAAGAAATGAAGTTAAATTACCTCATCTATATTACATTCATGTTCTTTACAGAGAACTTCAATAATTCTTGTATCATTTTCTAGTTGTTTTGCTATCCGTGCACTCCTGTTCTGACCTCGCCTTGGTGTTCGAAGTGAACCATTAATAGGTATTACAGCTGTTTCTGTAAAAATGGTAAATTAGATAAGAACAATTATAAATTCCACTGTATAAAATAATAAAATAATTTTATTATAACTAGGAAGATCAGAAAAATCCAGTAATATCATGCTACTTTGAATTACTAGGTTTCCCTTAAAGGCTAACAGTTATATCTATTTATTGCATATCTATTGTAAGTCATGTACTGATAACAGTTTTTGCCCTCCCCATACCATATGCTCTTCTGCCCCCCAACTAGTCCAAAAGAAACTGTAAAATACTTAAAGCCAAATATGAAGAAGGCAAGCAAAGAGCCAACTTATAAAGTAATTCTAAATTATCCAACTCAGTTTGCAAGGGGAAAACTGTTTTCAATCTTTTAAAGCATCTTAAAAATAATTAGGTAGTATTTACGGAATTAACTTTGAGATACAGTATAAAAATAAGTAAATTTTAAAAGATTTAGCAAATACCATAATATATTATGATGCTTTTAAAAGATAATATGTCAATATAATAATATGATAATAAACTAATTTTTTTTATTGTTGTTCAAGTACCTTTCTCTCCATTTTCACCCCACCATGCCCCCTGGCCCCACCCCTCCCCACCTCCCACCTTCTAACCTACCCTCTTTCACTTTGTCCATATGTCTTAGTAAATCGTGATTTTTAAAAAATCTCCTGGATTATTTTGAGCATTTCCGATTCAAAATGAATGTGGACTCAGCTATTAAAGAGATTACAGATGACTATAGGACCAACCAACAATTTACAAGAAATTAAGAGGATATAAGAACAAAAGCATATGTTAAGTGAAATAATACAGGCAGTGAAAGACAAATACCATATGATCTCATGTAAGTGAAACCTAATCAACAAAACAAACAAGTAAGCAAAATATAACCAGAAACACTGAAATAAAGAACAAACTGACAGTAACCAGAAGGAAAGGGAGAGGAGGATAACAGAGGCAAGAAGGGAAAGGTTGTCAAGGAACATGTATAAAGGACCCATGGACAAAACCAAAGGGGGGCAGGATTGAGGGTGGGAGGTGGTGGTGGATGGGACGGGGCAAAGTAGTGGGAGAAAAATGGAGACAACTGTATTTGAACAACAATTTAAAAAAAAACATGTTAAACTATGCCACAAGATGCAATCAGTGAAAAATTAAACCATGCGAAACTGGACAGGACAAACCGCTTAATTATTTAATAAATTGCAAGGTAAAAAAAAATGGAGAAACTTTTTTAGAACTCTTAAAACCATATGAACTAATTATCTCATTTAGATTCTCATTTAGTCAAACTAAAAATTGTTGAAATTATTTTTATAAGATAACTGAAAATATGAACATTTACTAAATATTTGGTGGTATTAAGATCACTACTGATTCATTTTTTAAGTGTGATGTGATGGTATTATCATTATGTTTTATAAAAAGACTTTATCTTTTAGAGGTACATACCAAATTTATAAGGATGAAATTGTATGCAAAAGAGTGCTTCAAAATAAAATAGCTAACAGTAGATGGGGCTACAGGTTGACCATAAGTTTTATGTTGAAGGTAGGTGATAAATACATAGAGGTGTATTATGCTACTGTCTGCTTTTGTATTTATTTGAAATTCTCCATAGTAAAAAGTTAATTAAAAGTGCACCATACTCAGTAGATTCAACACCTCATCCTGGTTTCTCTTTAACACTGTACTTAAAGAATTAAACGTACATTGCATTTATCCAAAACAATAAAGCATATCAACCCAAACATATATATCAACTTATTAACATGGTAACACTGAAAATATAGAGAAAAACCCATATAAAATCTTTTTTAATTCAGAAAATTATGAACTCTATTTATTGTTTTCTATTTTTCCTCTCTCTGTTTGGCATGTGGTTTCTGCCAAGTGACTGCCTTTTCTGTCAACCCATGTTCAAAAATTTTCAAAATTCTGTTCCAGATTTCATTTTTTCATGAAGTTTTTTTCTCTATTTAAAAAAAATTTTTATTTTATTTTATTTTTTAAATTTATTTTTTATTGATTATGTTGTTACAGTTGTTCTATTTCCCCCCTTCATTCCCCTCCACCCTGCACACCCCCTCCCCCACCATCCCCCCTTTAGTTTATGACCATGTGTCTCAAGTTCTTTAGATTCTATATTTCCCATAATATTCTTGCCCTCCCCCCATCTATTTTCTACCTACCATCTATGCTACTTATTTTCTGTACCTTCTCCCCCCTGCTCCTCCTCCCACTCCCCTGTTGCTAACCCTCCATGAGATCTTCATTTCTATGTTTCTGCTCCTGATCTAGCTGTCCTTTTAGTTTGCTTTTGTTTTAGGTGTGGTTGTTAATAATTGTGAGTTTGCTGTCCTTTCACTGTTCATCTTTTTTATCTTCTTTTTGTTAGATAAGTCCCTTTAACATTTCATATAATAAGGGCTTAGTGATGATGAACTCCTTGAACTTGATCTTATCTGAGAAGCGCTTTATCTGTCCTTCCATTCTAAATGAAAGCTTTGCTGTATAGAGCAATCTTGGTTGTAGGTCTTTGGATTTCATGACTTGGAATACCTCTTTCCAGCCCCTTCTTGCCTGTAAGGTCTCTTTTGAGAAATCAGCTGACAGTCTGATGGGAACTCCTTTGTAGGTGACTGTCCCCTTATCTCTTGCTGCTTCTAGGATTCTCTCCTTCATGTTAATCTTGGCTAATGTAATTATGATGTGCCTTGGTGTGTTTCTTCTTGGGTCCAAGTTCTTTGGGACTCTCTGAGCTTCCTAAATTTCCTGGAAGTCTATTTCCTTTGCCAGATTGGGGAAATTCTCCTTTATTATTTGTTCAAATAAGTGTTCCACTGGTGGCTGTTCCTTTCCCCCCTTCTGGTACTCCTATAATTCGGATGTTGGAGCGTTTAAAGATGTCCTGGAGGTTCCTAAGCCTCTCCTCATTTTTTGGAATTCTTATTTCTTCATATTTTCCTGTTTGGTCATTTTTTCCTTCCTTCTGGTCCACTCCCTTGATTTGAGTCCCAGTTTCCTTTCCATCACTATTGGTTTCCTGTGCAATTCCCTTCATTTCAGTTAGTTTAGCCTTCATATGTTCCTCTAATTTGTGACTAAAATCAACTAGTTCTGTGAGCATCCTGATCACCAGTGTTTTGAACTGTGCATCTGCAAGTTTTGCTATTTCTTTGTCACTTAGAGTTATGGGCCCTGGGCTTTGAGATGTTCTTGAGCCATTTTTGGTCTGTTCACACCCGTTAAGTATGAGGAGCGGAGCCTTAGGTGTTCACCAGGGCGGGGCCGCCCAGGTTGCTGGGTTGTGATGCTGTATGTGGGGGCGGGGTCAGAGAGGGGAAATGGCGGCTCCCTCTGCTGCCTCCTGCCACTGGGGCCTGCTTGGTCCCTCTCCGATCTATCTGCGCAGGAATGCGCAACCACAGTCAACCCGCCACCCTGCGCCCTCGCTGGGTCCCCCCGGTCACTCACTAGGTCGCTCACTGGGTCGCTCACTGGGTCCGCCCGTTGCAACCCCATGCCTGGGATCTGCGTGCCTGAGTCAGTCTGACCCAGTCTTCCTGTGCAACCCCGCTCCATCAGCTGCTGGCTTCACCCCTCTTACAGGTTAGGCTGAAGAATTCGTTGTTATCAGACTTCTGAAAAGTTCAATTTTCTGTGTTCTGGCTGTATTTTCTTTGCTAATATTTTGTTGTCTCTAAACTTGGTTGTGTGAGGAAGCAAGGCATCTTCACCTATTCCTCCATCTTGGCAGAAGTCTTTTCATGAAGTTTTTGTTCACAAAGATTCATTAGACTTAAGTTTTTCAGTTACTTCAACAACTCTTTGAAACTTCTAGTTTTGACCTTTCCTCCATTATTTTTAGTATTATTAATATTGGGTTGGCCAAAAAGTTTTAGTTTTTTCCATATGATGACTCTAGGAGTGCTTGTCTTTAACTACATTGTAAATAATTTTGTTAAACTGCATTGTGGTAGCTGTCATATCAGTGTGCATTTAAAAAAACTTATCGAAATTGGTGAGTTTTTGTGCAGCCATTTTAATATTGATGATAGAAAAAAGTCTGAAATATTTTCAGCATATTATGTTTTATTATTTTAAGAAAGATAAATACGCAACTGAAACAACAACAAAAAACATTCGTTCAGTGAAGAAGGTGCTGTGACTGATCAAACATGTCAAAAGTGGTTTGTGAAGTTTCTCCATATTATTGACATTTGGGCCAAATCATTCTTTGTGGCTATTTTATGTATTAGATGATGTTTAGCTGCACCCCTGGCCTCTAGCACTCTAGCACCACGAGAAGCCAATAGCAGGAGATAGTCAACATACTCAAAATATCCAAATCAACAAAGTTATTGTCTTTTATTTTACAGAAAAAACTAAACAGACTTTTTGGCCAACCTAATACTTCCATCATTTTTGGAGCAAAGCAATCATTTTAGTCTTAGTTAAGTTTACATTTTGCACCCTGGCTGGTGTAGCTCAGTGGATAGAGCATGGGCTGCAAACCAAAGTGTTGCTGGTTCGATTCCCAGTCAGGGGACATGCCTGGGTTGCAGGCTGAGTACCAACTTGGGGGCACATGAGAGGCAACCACACATTGATGTTTCTCTCCTTCCCTTCCTCTCTTTCTCTAAATATAAATAAAGATAAAATCTTTTTTAAAAAATTTACATTTTGCTGTAATATAATAATTGATTTTGAAAATTTACTCATGATGATACCACAGGAAACAATTCCATTCTGAGAGCGATATAGTCATCTTTGTTTAATAATATCTAATTATTTTACTAATAGTTACTTTTACTTAAATACATTTCCTATCTCATCACCTACAGAAATAGACAAATACAGTTTCATATGCAAAAAATTAGTCACAGAATCATTATAGCACCTAATGATAAAAATTTAATCTGTTTCTGCAGAATGAACCTCTCTTCCCATGCAGTTTCAATTTTATCTGTGCCTTGACTGTTTTTTCTTTACTGGGAATGCCCTCCCTCCAACTTACCACAATACTTAAATCCTAACTACTGTTTTCACTCAATTCAAATGTCGCCTTTCTATATGGTGTTCCTTGCTCTTCCCCAGCTAGGAAAAGTTTCTCATTTTCTGAACTTCCATAGCATTTGCTGGTATTTTGGCCCAGACCACTTTCTACCATATACTCCTTATTTATTTACTTGTCTTAATTCCTTCTATAAATTATACACTTCTTGAGAACAGAGTCCATGTCTGATTTATTTATTATAATACCCTAGTCTGTAAAACCACTTTTGGACACATTAGACATTCAGTAAGCAACTGTTTAATGAAGAAGAAAGAACATAAAATATTTAAAGTACTTACTATATGGTTCTTTGAGCAATGCAGGAGGTGAAAGTTTGATAAAATAGTCAAGGACACACAGCATTAACTGAAATGAGATCACCAGGTCATCTTCCATTTGTAATACTTCTCCTGAAAAAGAAGATTCACATTTTAAAACAAACTTAGAGACTGGGATCTTAACATAAGGAAAAACTGTCAGTATGGATGTATCAACAATCACTACAGTCATGTTAAAAATTTTTTTGTAAAAACTCATCCAATCTGATATATACAAAAATATATAAACATATAAAGTTATTAAATTAAAAATAAAATGTAAGTTTACAATGAGAATTTTAATTGTATTTTATTGATTAGGCTATTATAGTTGTCCTGATTTTTGTCCCTTTGCCCCTGTCCACCTAACACCCACTACTCCCTCAGGCAACCATCCCACCATTCTTCATGTCCATGGGTAATGGGTATAAATTCTTTGGCAACTTCATGTCCTATACTGTACTTTTCACCCCCATGGCAATTCTCTAACTACCTATTTGTACTTCTTAATTCCCTCACCTCTTCACCCATTCTCCCTGACCCCCTCCCATCTGGTGCCATCTGAAAGCAAACTTCTTTTCTCTTGCTGCTTTTTAAAGTCTCTCTTTGTCTTTAACCTTTGGTCTTTTCATTATGATGTGTCTTGGAACAGGCCCCTTTGTATCCACCTTATTTGGGATTCTCTGTGCTTCCTGAACTTGCATGTCTATTTCCTTCACCGAATTACAGAAGTTTTCTTTCACTATTTTTTCAGATAGATTTCCAGTTTCTTGCTCTTTCTCTTCTCCTTCTGACACCCCTATGATGCGAATGTTGGAATTCTTAAAGTTGTTCCAGAGGCTGCTTATACCATCCTTGGGGTTTTTGGGGGGAATTCTTTTTTCTGCTGGTTGTTCTGCATGGTTTTTTTCTTTGCTTCCTTATTTTCCAAATCATTGATTTGGTCCTCAGCTTCCTCCACTCTACTATTGATTCCTTGTAATTGTTCTTTATTTCAATTAGTGTATCCTTTTCTAATTGGGTCTTTTTATGCTTCTAGGTCCTCCCAAAGTTTCTTGAATAATTTTATAACCAGTGTTTTCAATTCTGCATTGGATAGATTGCTTATCTCCATTTTGTTTTACTCTTTTTCTGGAGTTTTGATCTGTTTTTTCATTTGGGCCATGATTCTTTGTCTCCTCATTTTGGCAGCCCCCCTGTGTTTGTTTCTATGTATTAGGTAGAGCTGCTCTGACTCTGTGTCTTGGTAGTGTGGCCTAATGTAGTAAATGTCCTACAGTGTCCACTGGCACAGCCTCCCCCATCACCCAAGTTGGGTACTTGAGGAGCACCCTCCTTAAGGGCTAAGTACACCCTCCTCTTATAAGTTGAGCCTTTTGCTATTGGAGGATCAATAGGAAGGATTTACCCAGGCCAGCCAGCCATAAGGATTAGCTGTGACTGACCATTGACCACCAACCTCTCTCCTCTGTGGAGAATCAGCTGTGCAAGGGTGGTGGTGCTCTGACATGATCTGTAGCTATCTACTGGGTGGACTGGTCCTGGAGTTCCCCAGGTGCTGTAGGTAAAGGTCAGCTCCCACCTGTGTTTCCCTGGGGCCACCCTCCCTGACCTTTAAAGCAATCTAAAATGTCTGCTACTGGTGCTAGGCTTGGAGATTTGCAGGGGAACCAATCTGTGAATCTAATCTGGCTGCTGCTAGGTCTCACTGAAGCCAGCTATTGCCTGTTTGTTAGGATTTAGGATCCAAGACCAGCCATTCTTATGGAAAAGCAGCTTGCATGGGCCTACACGTTAGGTAGGGCAGAACCTTGTGGGATCTCCAAGCTGAGTCAAATGGTGTTAGTCAGGTTGATGGAGACTAAGATATAGCACCAGCTTACCTGCTCTGTGGCAGGACGGTTTAGCAAAGGGACAACGGCCTCTGCTTACTGTGATGCCAGAAACTTCATTTCTCTCTGTATCCCACTGGTGCCTTTCAAGCTGCTACCCTTGTGATAGAGCTCAGATGGAGTGAGTCTGAGTAGGTGAGTATGTGTGTTGATTCTTTAAGAGGAACTGCTTGGGGCTCCAGCAGTTTCTTCCACCACTCAACCCCTTGCTGTTTTTTGCAGCCAGAAATTGTAAGGATTTATCTTGCTGGCACTGGAATCCTGGGCTAGGGGGCCTGGTGTGGATCTGGGACTGCTTACTCCTGTGATTATCTCTTTTAAATTTTTATCCACATGGGTGTGGGACCAGCCCATTCCATGTGTGTGCCGCTCCTATCAGTTGGGATGGATGTGGTTCCTTTAATTCTGTAGTTGTCTGACTTCCATTCAACTTGATTTAGTTGTCAGACTTCCATTCTCAGTATCTGACACTCCTGAGTGATGGTTGTTCTATATTTTAGTTGTAATTTTGATGTGGTTGTGGCAAAGAGGTGAGCCATGTCTACCTATGCCACCATCTTGACCAGAAGTTGAATTTTATATTTAGATATTATTACTGTAATTCAGTCGCCATGTCTAAAATATTTTAATTTTTGCTTTTTTAAACTTACTTTCAGTTTTAGTAAGAGCTATAGAATTTATTATTTCTGAAAATAATTTTGAAGTATGATATGTGCTAAACTTTATTCTATTTATTTATGAATTCTCATATATTTTCCATTTGAAAAACATCCCAAAATAATACAATAACCAAAGCCATTAGGAAATAACAAAATTAGTATATATTTGTAAAGTCATCTATAAATTAATTTGTACAAAATCCTGAAAGTTAATACAATAACTATACAACCAGAGAGCTGTAAAGAAAAAAATGCATATAATAAATACCTGAGGAAAATTCATATAGCTATATAAAATATATGAATCATGATCAAATATAGCTATCACATATTTCTTTATAGCTCTATGTTATGCATTATTTTTAAAAGAGACGTTTGACTCACTTTTTATATTCTTGGTATGAGACCACTAAACCATTAATAATCCCAACAAATACTGATGGTGTAGAAACTGTCATAAAATAGGTAACCCTGAATCAGGTAGGTTTTGTAGAGCCATAGGAATGGTACAAACATTTAAACAAAAATGTTTAAATGTTTGTAATAAATTTAGAAGTTATTAAGACATATAGAGGTAATGAATGATATGAAGGACTTTCGGTTAAAATTAGTAGAGTGAAATTAAATCAAAGAATCTCTCTATTCAATCTTTAATAAAAGAAAAAATATACTGGCTAAGTGGTAGCACCATTACCAAATTTGAGTGATACTGACTCCAAGAGTACCATTTTTTCCTCTTCTTACTTGAAGGAGCAAAAATTGCTGATGAGAGGATGAAAATGGAGGAAGTAAACAACTGTCACTAACTTTCTGAAATACACAGAGAATCCAGATTGGGATACAATCTGAAACCTAATACAATCCCAGGATAGTAACAGGATATAACTGCCACCAGAAAGGTTCTGTTTTAGAGTTCATTCTAACAAAACACTCAGAGCAACAAAGACACATTTCATTCTAGAGGAATTCTCTACTTTGTCCCTCTCCCTCTGACTATAAGTAAGTATGGGGGTGGAAAAAGCCTGCTCTTATATTATCACTCTTTGGGGGAAACACAAGTAATAGTGTGCAAAGTGAGTAAAGGAAGATTTATTCCCACCACCTCAGAGAAAATAGAACAACAGGTCAGGGCTGACACATGAAGTCCTTCCTACACGGGGGGGAACACAGAGATTATTATGCAAACATATTACAGAAAAGAAAAACTATAATTACAATATAGAAAACACAGACAGAAAAGCCAATCTGGAAGACAATCTATCACAAGAAAATGTCCTATGAGTCCTTACGTTAAGTTAAAAAAAAACACATTTCATAAAAACAAGGAGCTAGAGAACCTGAGAAGAACTTGAGGACCAAATAACACCATTACAAACATAGTTAAGCTCAAAACAGAAGAAAGGCTTGAGATAAAAATAGTTGATACATAAGAAAAACACCAAAGATTAGACTAGTATGAGAAGTCAACGGTAATTGTAAATATTTTTACAAAGAAAAAGAATATGAGAGAAGACAGTAAATGTGTAAGACAAAAACTATCCAAAATAAGATAATGTTTAACAAAATACAGAATAGTGTATAACTGAATAAAATTAAATTTCAAAACGTAGTATGTTAAGATATATCTGAAAAGAGAACTTCAGTTTACAAAGGAATTACTTCCAAGAAAAACTAATAAAAACTAATAAAAATAAAAAGATATCCTAGTTAATATGTTAAACCTTAAATTAAAAAAATTCTACTGCTATACAGGAAGTAAATGAGGAGAAAATTAAGCAAGACTCAGATTTCTGAATGATGTTCAACACCAGGAAACAGTGTCCTTAGGAAGACAAACAAAATACAAGAATAGGAGACACATCCAAGTTGTCCTTCAAGTATAAATATCATGGTCATCATTCACAAACATGCCAAACACAGAAAATGTGAGGCCAAATATGGCACTCTTTTGAGGAAATACCTTCATAGTAAACTCTAGCCAGGTAAGAATGAATCATAATAAAAAAGTCAGAAATAGAGAAGTTTGGATACAGGAATCATAATCTTAGAATCCCTTTAAATATAGAAATAAGACTAAATAAGTGTGACAATTAATAATTATAATTACAGAATAGAATGTAAATGTTATAATCTTTTATAATGTAACAACAGCAATAAACTAAGCAAATCTGAAAGTAAAGAATAAAAAAGGTAATGAGAGGAATGAGAATACTAGCATTCTTTTCCTTCAAAGCAGACTAATAAATATATATTACTTTACATCAAAACACAAAGTTAAATAAAATAAACATACTAACCTTTTAATTTTTTCATATTTTTCATAACATTAGGGAAATATTTTAGGAATAATACAGTTTAAGTAAGAAAACCTTTATCCAAACTAAGCAAGTCCCTCCATTTTTCTCACTTATTTTTTTCTGTAAAATTTGAGTAAAATTAATTTTTATATTTTAAATGTAGCACTAAAATACAATCCTATTTTTAGAAAATTAATCTGTTTATGAATATACTCATCCACCCACCTTATTTTTAACAGAATGTATGCATGAAAATATATCTGGAATTACAATCTCATAATTTTATTTTATTTTTTTACAGTAGGTCGATCTTTTATTCTATTGTTGCTTGAATAAAAACAAAATAAAAAACAGGAAGATGTCTTGGTGAATCAGTCACGGGGTTCCTCCCAGTCTGTGTTGGTGTTCTCTCGCTTCAGCTTGGATAGGTCTTTGATGGCATCTATCTCTGCAGGAGTGAACTTGGGAGTGAGCATCACAGTGTTGTAATCAAATTAATCATCAAGATGGAAGGGCTGAACTTCATCCCTGAGTATCTCGTCCCTGTGCTTGTCCATTCCTTTCACCATGGGCCTTGGCTTAACTCCAAGGGTCAGGGGCTGGGCCATGGAGGGAACATATAAAGGGACATGGGTGCTTACGTCCTGCTCCACTTCTCCAGGCAGCAGCAGCAAATCCTTGCTCATTTGGGGCTCAATCTCTTCATCTACATCCAAATCTCCTACTGCTAGGAAATTATCTACCTTCACCTTTCCAGACCAATTCAGATTACTTTGAAAGGAGCTGCCAGCACTCTGGCCTTCATCCAGTGCTATCTGCTCCTCTTCTGAACCCTGTGATAAAGTATGAAGAGAGATTGCTTTATTTCCAAGGGAGTGATTATTCAGTTCATTTCCATGAGAATGCTGTTGAAGTAGGTATGTTTTTTGAAGAATTAGTTCCAAATGCGCCTCTCTTGGTTACATTACCCTCTGAAAGATGAGTAAAAGTGCTCAGAAATTCTTCATATGTTTGCTTATGACAGCTGACAAACTTATCCAAGATTTCTTCAGTTATTTGATTTTCATACATGTTCTCCAATGCTGATATTTGGGCAGGCATTCCTATTCACAAGGTCACATTATCTCCCATTCCCTTGGCTCCAATCTAGTAGTCACTTCGAACTTTTGACATCCTTATTCAGAGAAACATCCTAGGAGTCTCTGTTTTTTTTTTTTAACTGCCTAACCTAAAAGCTGTAGCCTTTATTAACTGCTCTAATTAATTAATTAAATGTATTGGGGTGACCTTGGTTAATAAGACTACATAGGTTTCAAGTGTATATTTCTATGATAGACGATCTGTATATTGTGTGCCAACACCAAAAGTCAAATCTTCAGTCAGTAAATATTTGGCCCCTTTACCCTTTATAACATCCTCACTTTCTTCCATCTGGCAACCACCATACTGTTGTCTGTGTCAATGAGTTTCAGTTTTATATTACACATATGAGTGAAATCATATGGTTCTTAGCTTTTTTGACTGACTTTTCACTTAGCACAGTATCTTCAAGGTCCATCCATGTGGTCACAAATGGCAGTATTTCATCTTTTCTTATGACTTAAGAGTATTCCACTGCATATATGTACCACATCTTTATCTAATCGTCTATTGAAGAACACTTGGGTTGTTTCCATGTCTTGGCCACTGTAAATAGTACTGTAATCAACATAGGAGTGCACATATCTTTGTGTATAAATGTTTTCAAATTTGGGGGGTAACTCAGATAACCTAGGAGAGGAATTGCTATGTCATGGTAACTCTATTCTTAATTTCTTGAGGAACCTCCATACTCTTTGCCAGTTTACCTTCTCACCAGCAGGAATGTGGATTCCTTTTTCTCCACAACCTCTACAGCACTTATCATTACTTGTCTTGTTGATGACAACCATTCTAACAGAGGTAAGGTGGCATCTCATTATAGTTTTGATTTGCACTTCCCTAATAGCTAGTGAAGTTGAGCATCTTTTCATATACCATATTTTTCAGACTACATGATGCACTTTTGCCCCCAAATTTGGGAGGAAAAGGGGGGTGTAACTTACAGTCCAAATGTAGCTTACCTGGCTCACTGTGGCGGGGGGCGGTGGTGGAGCAGGGTCACAGGTTATTAAATATTTTACATTTTTTGCTTCAAAAAATTTTCCCCCTCTAAAACCTAAGTGTGTCTTATGGTACAGTGTGTCTTATACTCCTAAAAATATGGTACATGTCACCAATTTACATGTCTTCTTGGGAGAGAAGTCTGTTAGGTCCTTTGCCCATTTTTTAATTAGACCGTTTCCTTCATGTTCAGTTGTATGAGTTCTTTATATATTTTGGATATTAATGCCTTCTTAAAGCTATTGTTCGCAAATATCTTCTCCCATTCAGTTGGTTGCCTTTTTGTTTTGCTGGTGTTTTCTTCTGCTGTGCAGAAGCTTTTTAGTTTAATATAGTCCCATTCATTTACTTTTGCCTTTATTCCCTTGTCTTGGGGTCAAATTCATAAAATCCTCTCTAAGGCCAATGTTGATAAGTTTAGTACCTATGTTTTCTTCTACATAATTTATTGTTTCAGATCTTATATTTATAGGTCTTTGATCCATTTAGAAATAACTTTTGTACATAAGAACACACTGTGGTCTAGTTTCATTATTTTGCATATGGCTTTACAATTTACCCAGCACCATTTATTAAAGGGGCTTTCTTTTCTCCATTGTATAGTTTTGGCTCCTCTGTCAAAAACTATTTATCTATATCCATCTGCTTTTATTTCTGGGTTTCAATTCTGTTCTCTTGGTCTGTGTGACTAAGTTTTGGCCAATACCATGCTATTTTGATTAAGTTGCTCTGTAGTATAATTTCAAGTCATTTAGGGTGATACCTCCAGCTTCATTCTTTTTCCTCAGGATTGCTCTGGCTATTTGGGGTCTTTTGTGATTCCATATAAATCTGATGATTTTTTGTTTTATTTCTTTAAAAAATGTCATTGGTATTTTGATGGAGATCACATTAAATCTGTATATTGCTTTGGGTAATCCCATAATTTTAATGATAATTATTCTGGCATGAGTTTTGGTTATCTTTTATGTTTTTTTTTTTTACATTTTGCTGTATTATTTAAATTCTTTTAAGTCTATATCATTCTTGTAAAATCAGTAAGATTATTCCTTAAAAAAGAGATAGATGGAAGGAATGGATGCTACGAACAAATGAAATGAGATTATTGTCAGTGCTGCTTCCAGTACTAGAACTATAAGAATTTACTAACAGTTAACAATTCACACAAAAAGCTGGGATTGATTTGGGATGATGGGTGGGGAAGAAACATTAAATTAAATAAAACTTTGAGCTCAGTCCAAAAGAATGATCAATTATTACATCAAAACATTAGGATATAACAAACATAATGACTTTACCTTTAGCTAGTAAAAATGTGATCCAAGAAACTTTTAGCACCAACACAGAATTTATTTCGGTAGTAATCCTAGTAAACAAATAGAGAGAAGAAAACAAATTTATAAAAGCTAATCAAATATACCTGATTTTCCCCCTTTTTTAAAAATTATAGACCTGAGTTAATTATATAATAAAATATAGTCCATTTAAATACACAATTTGTGATCAGAGGGGAGAGGACAGAGAATTTCAGGGGAAATGGGGAAGGGTTTACAGGAACAAGTATAAAGGACACATGGACAAAAACTAGGGAAGGGGTGGAAATGGGAAGGAGGTGGGGAGGGCTGGGGGGTGGGCTGGGATGGGAGTAAAAGACAGAAAACTGTACTTAAACAATAATTAAAATAAAGTATCTTTATAAAAAATTAAAAAATAAATGCACAATTTACACATAAACTTACTACTTTGTCTGAATCAGTGTTCATATCAAAGTATTTATATTTTGCCCATAGTAGGAAACATTTCATTTAAAAAACTGAATATCTCAATTCTAATATAAAAATATGCACAGGAAGTAGTATACTAAACTGCACTTGGTTTCTAGTTACTTAAATATTTTCTGCTCTTTGTTTTGTATTGGGTTGGCCAAAAAGTCCATTACATTTTTTCCATAAAATAAAAGACATATTTTTCATTTTCAAAAATAACTTTATTGATTTGGATATTTTGGGTATGTCAGCTATCCCCCATGTGGTATAATGTTGATTGTTCTCAATTAATGTCTCCACTTGATTGCTATCAACTTCAACTGGCCTACCCAATTGTGGAGCATTGTCCAGTGAAAAATATCCAGCATGAAACTTTTGCAAACCACTTTTGACACATTCAGTCAGTCATAGAACCTTCACACAATGAACAAATTTTTTTTGTTTCAGTTGCATTTTTACTTTTCTTGAGTAAAGCATAATATGACAAAAATGTTGCATATTTTCTTCTATCTTCAATATTAAAATGGCTACACAAACATTCACCAATTTCGAAACTTTTTTAAATGCATGCTGATATGAGAGCTGTCATAATACAATGTAACAAAATTGTCTCAAATAAAGTTAATGACAGCTAAGCACTCTTAGAGCCACCTTACAGAAGAAAACAAACCTTTTGCCAACTCAATAATTAAAATCAACAGAGTAAGCAGAAAAATAGAGGTTTCAGTTATTCTACTTTATCAATTTAACACTATGCCTTAATTTTCCATAGCCATTCACTTTGGAAATTAACAAGTGAAATTAATAATTAATTGGTAATTATTAAATATACAACTTTGCTTTATCTCACCTTCAATACTACTATTAGAATGAGGTAGAAAATTTTATGCTACTCATTCTTTTTCCAAATAAAACTCTGCAGAGATCTTAATATAGATTTTATGTTGGGAGCCACCCTGCCTGGTTTCAGGAGCTGAAAACCCCCATGGCTAAGGCTTAGTAAGTAACCTTCAGACCATAAGCCACTAAGGAAACAAAGCTTATCTCCCTGGCAGGAGCTCCACTTCTGCTCTTTTTTTCATAACTGGCCCTCAATGCTTGATCAGTTAGCCAATGATGGGTAAGATTCCCCAAGGGGGAAACAACCTAAGACAGGCATGATCATGTGGAGGCCCCAGGGAGAGACCTGGGAGACTATGGAGAAAGGGGATGATGGACCCTCCCTCCTCGGCTTTGACGAAGCCTGAGTACTCATTCTGTACCCAAGAAGTCTCCTAAAATTCCTTGGCTATCTTGCCTCCTCTGCCTGACTTAAGCCTGAAACAATGACAGAGGGCAGTGCAGCCCTGTGCTGGAAAAGGTGGGCTCCCCAGATGATCAGGCCAGAGAATGGATATGTAAAATCCTGTGAAGCCTGCTTTGCTAAGAATGATCTTAGTTAAATGATAAAGGCACAAGCAGGAAATGAGTTTGTTTCCCAAGGTTTTGTAGCCTCTTAGCTGATAGACCCTGACTCAGAAGAAGCCCTAATAGTTCTTTGTATGCTATCTACTGTTTGATCCTTACTGCCTGACAATGATGAATGAGCTGTACCTGTATTTCTGTGCTAATTGAAACCCAATAAAACCCTGTCTGGGCAAGGGTCGGGGTGCTCTCCCCTTGAGAGGGTGGCCAAGCCACTCTGAGGTGCGCCCCCCTTGAGGGAGTAGCTGGGCCATCCCTTTTCCTCCACAGGACTTGGTAGTCCCTATGAATTTGTCTCATATATCATCAATGATGCCGCGGGCACTGCAGGCTGGTACAATGCCACCCAGAGTGCTTTTCAGGAATATCATAGGGTGTGCTGGATTACAAAGGAATAGGGGTTTTCTTCCTAGGTCACCCTCTCTTGCAACCACCTTGCAACTGTACCTTCTTTAGTAAACAGGTACTTTGCTCCCTCTCCCAAGCATTTGCTGACTAGGTGTAGGTTTGGGAGAAAGAGCAAAGACTTTCCCTTTAATCAGCTTTAAGAACAGCAACAAGTTACAGGGCTATCTACAAGCATATCAGCAAATTGTTTCTTTCAAGCCACTTCTTGTGGTCTTTTCGATTTTGACTCTTCTCTACGTCCACCTGCATAAGGAAAAGCGGATAGTGAATGAGTGTTTTGGGTTCAACCAGACTCCGAAGATTGCTTTCCAGAAGACTTTAGTGTTAGTCCTAGGTTTTGTATGAGAGCTTTTGGCATTTGCCGAGCTCCGAAGACAAAAGGCACTTCCTCCCCTCGGCTCAAGAAATCGAGTGTTCCCATGTATGAGTCGGAATCTCACGAGGGTGTCTGGGATCAATTCCTGAGACATGCAGGGGCCTTATAGGGACCTCCATCACCATTTAATCTAACTTCTGGCTCATCTGGGAAAGCGCGATATAAAGGTTGGTCACCTAGCACTTCAAGCACCTCCTGTCTCTCGCAGTCTTTAACACTTGGGGGAGAACCCGAAACCTATAAGCGGGGTTGGGGTAGGAGGAAAGTCCACCCCCTCCATGACTGTCTTACACCAACAGCACATTTCTGACCGACTACATTCTTTTCACTAGCAAGAAGTAGTATTTAAAGGAGCAGAAGTGGCGCTCCTGCTAGGTAGATAAGCTTTGTCTCCTTAGTGGCTTATGGTCTGAAGGTCACTCACTCAGCCTTAGCCATGGTGGGGTTACAGCTCCTGAGGCCTGGGGCAGGGTGGTTCCCAACAATTTTCATATTTATTCTTACAAAAAAATTATGCTCTGAGTCTTAGGTAATATATAAAATACCTGTAATAGACCTTCAATAAAAATTTAGTCAATGGTTTGCATTTTTCTTAGAGTTGATCATACATTGCAGGGAATCAACTTCCACCTTATTATTTCACCTCTCAACATGTTTGGGATCAGTACAGAAAAATCTTCAAAATAAACAAAATGTGAAAAATAACATGTTGTCAACTACTTACAAACTGCTCGGTTGTGTTAAATATATAAGTTCACATGTCCTGAAAGAAAAAAATAATTATATTAATATTATGGCTTTTTTAAAAGTTACTTTGTAGTTGTTTTCATAATTTAGAAATCAATTCTTATTGCTTTTGTTTTTTTCATTATCTTTAAATATATTTTCTTGATTATGCTATTACGGTTGTCCTATTTTTTCCCCATTTATTCCCCTGCATTCCCCACCCATATTCCCCCTGCCCAATTCTTGTCCGTGGGTCATACATATAAGTTCTTTGGCTTCTACATTTCCTATACTATTCTAATCATGCTTTGTTAATCTTACTTTAAGAAGTATATGTTTTAAAAACAAAAAGTATAGCATTATAAAATAAAGTAAAAGTAGATTTCTCCAGTTTATAACATTTCACACACAGCATTGTAATATCTAATTACAAAAGGATTGATCTTCATATGTACATCTATAACTAAGAATGTGTTTATAATCAAATCTTGAGCCTGTCAGAATTCCAAATCAGGTCCTAAAAGCCTATTTAACTATTTAAACGGGGCCACAGCCCCTTTTCAGAAAAGTACCTCACTTTTAAGGTAGATGTGTCACTTCAAAAAAGAAAATGCTGTCTCCGCCCTGATCTCTTGAGTAGTGGCACAGGGTAGAGATAGGTCTTAAAAACAGAGAGCTCTAAAGCTCTCCCCCAAAGAATTAACTTCATCTGGAACAGAGTATAGTGACAATCAAAGCTAAAAGCACTAATGAAAACAATAAAGATTTTGGTGGTAAGAAGTAAGAGGAGGCTGGTAGCTATATGAGAGCAACGAACTAAATTCTAGATCATCTAAGAGAGAACCAAAGGGCCAGGAAGCTAAGAAGAGCTCTCCTGAGGTCAGAACAAGCCTCAGGACTGGACTTAAAGATTACTTCTGCAAAGGGAGCCAAATTTAAATGAATCAGACTGTGGAGCAATTTGGTACACAGGACATCATCAAAAACAACAAGCAATCATTCATCAATTATTAGAAAGTAACAGCTAGGTGATATATCAATACAGGCAGTTTACTTTAACAAGAGAGATCAGAGAAAATATTAGTCAAAGAGAGCTCCACTAAAATCATTATCCTCTCAGAGTTGCCGACACATATCCAAGGTTACACGGAGGAGCAATATCAGAGGCTATACACTATGGGAGAAAACAGACTTCACTGAACTAGTACAGCTAAGTTGCTAAACAAATAAACAAGAAAATAACAACAGGAAGCCTCAGGACAGAGGAGAATAATTATGCAGAGTTACCAACATGCTATGAAAAGTGGCAGTATTCAAAAAGAAATATGAAGCATGACCTCTACATTAGGAAAATGCAGACAACAGAAATGGCATTTAACAAACCCAGGTATCATAATTAATAAATACTACAAACCAGCTTTTATAAATATGTTCAAAGAACCAGGCAAATCAGGCTTAAAGCTAAAAGAACTATATGCTGACAAAGTCCCATCAAACAGAGAATAAAAAAGTAAATAAATTATTTTAAAACAACCAAATGGAAATTTGAGTTGAAAGGTGCAATAACTAAAATGAAAGTTTCATTAGAGGAGCTCAACAGTATATCTGAGCTGGAAGAAGAAACAACTAAATCGCTCAAGTCAAAGAGATTGTATAGTTTGAAGTACAAAGAGAAAGAGAATGAAAAAAATAATGAAGAGGCTTACAGAAATATGGGAAACCAAAACATACCAGAAGGGGGGGGGGAAGATGGAAGGAAGCAGAAATAACTTGTAAAGAATGGCGGAAAGTTTCCCAAATCTGATTAAAAACATTATTCTATATACCCAAGAAACACAATATGGTCCAAGTAAGATGACTATAAAGAGATCCACACCCAAATGTTATTATAGTAAAAATGATGGAAGACAAGAAGAAAATCCTGAAAACAGCAAAAGAAAAATGTTCCATCATGTAGATAGGAAAAAACAGCTCACTTCTCATCAGAAACAATGACAACCAGAAGGCAGTAAGACTATACACTCAAAGTGCTGAAAGAAAACATCAACCAAGAATCATATATCTGCTAAAACCATAACTCAAAGGGGATACTGAAAGAAAGACATTCCCACACAACAGAGAATTTGTTAAGAGTAGACTTGATTTACAAAAAAAACACTAAAATAAATTCTGCAAGCTGAAAACGAGTGACCCAATACAGTAATTCACAACCATGTGAAAAAAAAACAAAAAGCACTGGTAAAGGTAATTATGTTACTATAAAAGATGGTGTCCTTGTATATTTCTTCTCCTTTCTTCTTCTAATTGAAGTAAAAGGCAATTGAACAACACGACATATATAGTTGTATTATTGGGCCTATAGCATGTGACAACAGCAGTGTAAAGAAAGTGGGTGGGATAGATAAAAGATGTACTGAAGTAAACAAATGACACTAGATGATAAAATGAATCAATGGAAAAGAACGAGAATGGAATGGACCAAAGGAAAAGAATGAGAAATGGTAAATAACTTAATACAATAAACTCTGTAAATGTGTACTGTTCTCTATACTCTTAACTACTTTAAAAGACATACAACTCAAAAATCTATAAACTGATGAAAGGATAAATTGTGGTATAGTTATACAATGAAATAATATTCCATAACAATAGTAATGAATATTGAGGAAGATCAGAAGATGGCTGAGCAGACAGAAGCTGAGTCCACTTGCTCTTTCCCCCAACTTGGATTTTCTAATGATCTTCCAACAAGTAACCTGAACAATCAGTGGAATCTTAGCTGATGCAAGATTCAAGAAAAGTACCGAAGTAGGACTGCACCATACAGATTTTATAAGTTAAAGTGGAAATACCCTGTTTGTGGTACCTGCAACAGCAGAGAGACCAGGAAAAATTGAAGTGTTGTAGCTTCCTCTTCTACAGAGGCAGAAGGCCTTATCCTGTACAAACACTCCCTGCAACCCTAGTTGGGAATGACTTGGGAGGATATATGTGGAGTCTGGGAGATACAGGTAACACAAACACAGAAAGCAGCATGTCTATAGCAGCAGTGCCAAATGGGAGTGCCAGGGAGGGACTCTAACTTCCAAAACGATCAGGGGCTGCACCTGGGTTGGTCAGAGGCATTGGCACACTATGACCAACTGTGACGAAGAGAGACTTTTTGCTTTTGGGGAAGGTAGCATGCACCGAGAACTGGACAGTGATAGTACTGCAGTGTGGTGCCACATAGGTTTTAAAAGGAAAGCTGACTTTTGTTACTCAATATGTCACTTCAGACCTATTTTGTTATGTTAGTTCCCAGGCATCTAAGAAATACAAATTTTTAAAAACTAGGAGAGCTGAAGTACAGCTGGTCAGGGATCACAAGTGCAGCTGTTCTGCCAGCAAAGAGAACAAATTAAAAGTACAGTTCGGAGAGAGGGAGGAAGATGGCATCGGAGTAGGGCGGAGCGGATTATAGCTCCCGCATTCTGAGTGAAAATCCTGGCAGATCTATAGAAAAGCAGCGCACTAAACCATCAGTTATCCAGCATTTGTAAAATTAAAAGAACAGAGACTGTGTTGGACACTGAAACACCAGAAAGCGGCAGGTCAGTGGGGTCTTGAGGACCCCAGTAAAGACAAAGCAGCGGGGGGGGGGGGGTGTGTGTGTGGCTGGCACCCCAGCCCAGGTGGCCCTGATGCTGCCTCTACGGCCAGGGTACAGAGCCATCGGTCTGAGACCAACACCAGAGAGGTCTACCACAGGAGCTTAGGCACCAGCGGCCCCAGTGCCACCAGCGCGGGCCAGCAGTTCCCCTGCTTCCCCTATAAGCAAAACTGGACAACACTGGGCAGAGACCTGTCTGCTTGCCGGCTTGCATTTTCCGGGCGGGGTACAAAGACAAAGGGCCCGGTTCAACTGAAGACTCTGTGATCGCAAGCCTGGGAGAATCCAGAGACGCATTAGCCTCACGGGTCTGGTTGGGGACTGAGCGGGAATGAGAGACAGGCTGTCTGGAGAGTTTTGTTTTGGTTTTTTATTGAAAGTGGACTGAGGTGTTCTCCTGCCAGGGCAGCTTGGCTTGCTTCCTATCCGGCCTTGCAGCGAGCCAGGGGGAAAGTGGAGGCATTTGGGGACTAGCCACAGGACTGGGAAGCGCCCTGCCGGTTACTCCTGGTCCCAGACGGCTTGGTGGAAGCGGAGGCCTCTGAGCCACCGCCAGGAGACTGGGAAGCCCACTGCCGGTTTCACCGGTCCCAGAAGGATGAGCGCGCGCGGGCGCAGAGAATTCGGGGCCTGCGCCACAGGACCAAGGAAGCGCCCTGCCCGTTTCTCGCGCGCACGGGCGCAGAGAACTCTGGGCTGGCGCCACTAGGATCGGGAAGCGCCCTGCCAGTTTCTCATGCGCGAGGGCCCGGAGACTTTGGGGCGGGCACCAGAGGACCGGGAAGCACAGGTTGCGCAGTCCCGGTCTACCCGGCGAGTGTGTACGCGCCCACACCCCAATCTGGTACCTTGGCTGGTGAGCGCTCTTGCACCGGCATCCCAGCACACAGAGACATCCTGCTGCAACTAGAAAAACCAGTCTGGACAGTTTGAAACCAACAAGGGAAGGGTTTCTCTGTTGTTGTTGTTATTGTTTTTTTGTGTGTTTGTTTCTTTGTTTGTTTTGCTAATTGCTTGTTTGTTTTGGGTTTTTTTTATTTTTTTCTGTTTTTTTCCCTTTTTTTAGTGACTTTTTTGTGCATTAGTTTAGTAACCTTATATATTTTTTTATTTTATCACTGCTTTATCTTTCTATACTTTGTTCCTCTCCTTTCTTTTTCCCTGTTTTAGTCCTTCTCCCTTTCCTCTTAAACTCTTCGCTTTTGCCTCCCCTCTCCTGCCTTTTCGTTTGATTGTTTGTATGTTGCTTCGTTTCCTTTTACCCGCAAGAGACACAAACAACTAGGAACTGTGAAAGGACCAAAATGGGACCCGAAGAGGGGGCATCTCAACAGTACAGACAGAGAGACAAATTTGACCTTCCTATAGCAGAGAAGCCACGAGGA